TAATGTTGCTGTAAAGCTAATTTTCCAGACTAGAAACACGGGGAGAAATTTGAATAATAAAAAAAAATTAAAAAAAAAAACAAAGCAAAGTTTCTTTGATGAAATCCATGTAAATCAATGACCCAATACCTGGTGATGTGTTGAAGACCTCGTTTTAGGAATATCACGTTTTACAAGACAAGATTTCAGTGGCCTGTCCACGCCGTATTCAATTGCATGTTTGGTGAATACATCGTGACATTTAATATTATTGATTAAAAGTATCACCCCAACCAGTCATAATTGATATGAACGCGTTACATTTCTTATAGTGAAATCTCAAATATAAAAAAAATAATTGCAGATTTTCAAATATTACAGATTTGTCTAGGATTTTAGAAATACCCAATGTTAGTATATAAACTTAAAACTACATTTGTTACAGCATGCTCGTCACAAACGGACATTGTTTTCCTGATGGACGCCTCAGGAAGTATTACAGCACCAAATTTCCGAACTATGAAATACTTCATCCAGAACTTCACAGCTGGGCTGAAGATAGGCACGGATGCACTTCAGCTTGGAATTGTCAAGTTCTCGAGTAATGCCAACACGGAATTCGGGCTAAATCAATATCACAGTCCACTCACCATTAATAATGCTGTTGACACAATTATCTACACTAGCGGTGGCACGGCAATTGGAACAGCATTGACTTATGTCAGGACCTACTCTTTCCTTCCAGGTAATGGCGGCCGGCCCAAAGCTACACAAGTTATCATTCTTATGACAGACGGAAAATCTGGCGATCAACCTGAAAGCGTAGCGAGCACCCTAAAAGACGAAGGTGTCCTTATCGTTTGTATCGGTATAGGGAGTGGCGTCAATATGAATCAGCTCAATTCTATAGCATATAATACATCATTTGTGTTTGATGTGAATAGCTTCAGTGTCCTTATAGACGTGAAAAATGTGGTACAAGAAAGTTCATGTCGCGGCCATGTGTGAAGGTTGGACTTTGCTCACATTTGATGACGTATGTCACAACTTTTACTTAATTACAAAGTGTGATGGCGTAACTTTGCGGAGATATAATGACGTATCTCAATGACAATGTTTCAAGGTTTTAGTTTGGTGAGATTTGATGACGTATCTTAGTGATAATGTTACACGGTTTTAGTTTGCTGAGATTTGATGACGTGTCTTCAGTGACAATATTTCAAAGTTCTATTTTGCTCAGATTTGATGACGTATCTTCAGTGACAATATTTCACGGTTTTAGTTCGCTCAGATTTGATGACGTATCTTCAGTGACAATATTTCACAGTTTTATTTTGCTGAGATTTGATGACGTATCTTCAGTGACAATATTTCACAGTTTTATTTTGCTGAGATTTGATGACGTATCTTCAGTGACAATATTTCCCGGTTTTAGTTTGCTCAGATTTGATGACGTGTCTTCAGTGACCATATTTCACAATTTTATTTTGCTGAGATTTGATGACGTATCTTCAGTGACAATATTTCCCGGTTTTATTTTGCTGAGATTTGATGACGTATCTTCAGTGACAATATTTCACGGTTTTAGTTTGCTCAGATTTGATGACGTATCTTCAGTGACAATATTTCACGGTTTTAGTTTGCTCAGATTTGATGACGTATCTTAGTGACAATGTTACACGGTTTTAGTTTGGTGAGATTTGATGACGTATCTTCAGTGACAATATTTCACGGTTTTAGTTTGCTGAGATTTGATGACGTATCTTCAGTGACAATATTTCACTGTTTTAGTTTGCTGAGATTTGATGACGTGTCTTCAGTGACAATATTTCACGGTTTTAGTTTGCTCAGATTTGATGACGTACCTTAGTGACAATGTTACACGGTTTTAGTTTGCTGAGATTTGATGACGTGTCTTCAGTGACAATATTTCACGGTTTTAATTTGTTCAGATTTGATGACGTACCTTAGTGACAATGTTTTGCGATTTTAGTTTGCTGAGATTTGATGACGTATCTTCAGTGACAATATTTCACGGTTTTAGTTTGCTAAGATTTGATGACGTATCTTCAGTGACAATATTTCACGGTTTTAGTTTGCTCAGATTTGATGACGTATCTTAGTGACAATGTTACACGGTTTAAGTTTGGTGAGATTTGATGACGTATCTTCAGTGACAATATTTCACGGTTTTATTTTGCTGAGATTTGATGACGTATCTTCAGTGACAATATTTCACAGTTTTATTTTGCTGAGATTTGATGACGTGTCTTCAGTGACAATATTTCACGGTTTTAGTTTGCTCAGATTTGATGACGTACCTTAGTGACAATGTTACACGGTTTTAGTTTGCTGAGATTTGATGACGTGTCTTCAGTGACAATATTTCACGGTTTTAATTTGCTCAGATTTGATGACGTACCTTAGTGACAATGTTTTGCGATTTTAGTTTGCTGAGATTTGATGACGTATATTCTGTGAAAATTCAAATATATTTGAACATGGTAACACAATTGAGGAAGGAAGACAATTTTTGACTATCCTGACCTCGAACTTACAATATATGACACCAAAGAAATTTGACAACTGTCTAACCATTTGCAAAGTATTCAAGCAAGTCATTACCTGACGAACTCTGACATCCATGTAGAAATCGCGAAACGTGCTCTTATCTATAAAAGGTACATTTCTATGCCGAAATCGTAAATCTTTGCTTGTAGCGTGTTCGACCACGGTTCCCAAACCAAAAAACCAGGACCGTTGTAGAATAAAACAGCGGAGAATTTTTCATTGTATAGCTAAAGTATCATTTTTCTGTTTTACTTCCAAAACATTAAAAAAGTTTTTTTATAATGCTGGTGTCTCATTGTTGTTATTATCGTTATGTTTGGTATTATGTTAGGTTATGATAGGAAACATGCCAACGAATCATATTTCTATGGTGAATAGATTAAGCCAAAAAAGGTGGTTTTGGAAAAAAAGTTATTAAGGTTATATTAGCATGACAACGTACACAAACATAGTGTTTAGGATGATGGTGCAGGTATATAGGATGCTGATGTAGGTGTATAGGATGCTGATGTAGATGTATAGGATGCTGATGTTTAGGATGCTGCTGTAGGTGTATAGGATGCTGATGTTTAGGATGCTGATGTTTAGGATGCTGATGTTTAGGATGCTGATGCAGGTGAAGAGGCTGCTAATGTTTAGGATTCTGATGCAGTTTTATAGGATGCTGATGTAGGTGTATGAGATGCTGATGTTTAGGATTCTGTTGTAGATGTATAGGATGTTGATGTTTAGGATGCTGATGCAGGTGTATAGGATGCTGATGTTTAGGATGCCGATACTGGGGTATATGCTGCTGATGTTAAGGATTTTGATGCAGGTATATAGGATGTTGATGTAGGTGTATAGGATACTGATGTTTAGGATTCTGATGCAGGTTAATAGGATGCTGATGTAGGTGTGTAGGATGCTAATGTTTAGGATTCTGATGCAGTTGTGTCGGATGCTAATGTTTATGATGCTAATGTAAGTGTATAGGATTCTGATGTTTAGGATGCCGATACTGGGGTTTATGCTGCTGATGTTTAGGATTCTGATGCAGGTATATAGGATGCTGATGTAGGTGTATAGGATGCTGATGTTTAGGATTCTGATGCAGGTATATAGGATGCTGATGTAGGTGTATAGGATGCTGATGTTTAGGATTCTGATGTTTAGGATGCTGATGTAGGTGTATAGGATGCTGATGTTTAGGATGCTGATGCAGGTGTATAGGATGCTGATGTTTAGGATTCTGATGCAGTTTTATAGGATGCTGATGTTTAGGATGCTGATGTTTAGGATGCTGATGTTTAGGATGCTGATGTTTAGGATGCTGATGTTTAGGATGCTGATGTAGATGTATAGGATGCTGATGTTTAGGATGCTGATGCAGGTGTATAGGATGCTGATGTTTAGGATGCTGATGTTTAGGATTCTGATGCAGGTATATAGGATGCTGATGTAGGTGTATAGGATGCTGATGTTTAGGATTCTGATGCAGGTTAATAGGATGCTGATGTTTAGGATTCTGATGCAGGTTAATAGGATGCTGATGTTTAGGATTCTGATGCAGGTTAATAGGATGCTGATGTTTAGGATTCTGATGTAGGTGTATAGGATGCTGATGTTTAGGATTCTGATGTAGGTGTATAGGATGCTGATGTTTAGGTTGCTAATGCAAGTTAATAGGATGCTGATGTAGGTGTATAGGATGCTGATGTTTAGGTTGCTAATGCAGGTTAATAGGATCCACAAATCTGTAATTTCTTTCTTTATTCATTATTTACTGTTATTATTTTAATTGCTAATCTTCAAAAATTAAAAGATTCATGATTTTCTAATTTCAATGAGTAACCATAAGTTTTAAACTAACACCAATTTTGTAATAAATCGCATGTTACTGTTGACTGAAATATACAGAATTTCAAGCCAGATCATTATGGTTTCAGGTATTGAGTATAACAATACACTGTGCATATCCGAAATCTATCCCATTGTGATAACATTTTGTCATGTTAAACACTGGAATAATTTATCTATACACACAACCTATACACGTATCTGGCTATCATGTATACAATACCTTATTCATGACTAATATGATATCTTGATTCTTAATAACTTGACTAGGTTTCGTGACAGAATGTCTGATCACATAGTCCGAGACCTACACTGTGCTGTGTATTATATCACATGCGTTCATCTGCATGTTTACCTCGCAAGCCAAGAAGAAAAATGGTTTTAAAAAATTGATTGGGCACATTTCCAAATGTCTTATGTTTGGTATTGCGACAATAATATATTAAGTGTACAGACAGAATACAGTTATACAAAACTCATATTCGGTAACACCAAATGATTTAAAAAACCAAAACTAAACTTGCATGACTCATGACTTGTGTAAGAGGACAACACACATAGAATGTACATTGTAATATCTTCCGGGTTTCAAATGAAAAACTAAGGGAAAAATGGACGAGATTAAAAAGTTCAGAGGTAAGTAAAATTTGTTTGACTAATAAAAAAAGATGATGTTGCCTAGAAATATACTTTCCAACCGAATAATGCGTAAAAATAATTAAAATTTAATTGTTTGTTTATTAGTTGTTTTTTTTTAAAACTATATCGTTACGCTCAGGATATTTGTAAAATAATTGTTGAAGTAGATACAATAGGTGTTGCTTTCGTTTCATCTATTTAGTATAATATTCTTTTGCTTTAGATTTACATGAAGAGCAAGTCAAAATTCTGCTAATAACATTAATGTTATGAAACGGGATGAGGTAACAGAAAAAATACAATGGGTGTTATAAGGAGTATTGGTGGACTAGTTTGTTCAAATTCGATACTGGGCATTTCTGCCATTAATCTCGACTTTTTGGTTTTGTTTCGGAGATTAAGAAACATAAACATACCAACAAGTCAACATAATCATAATTCAAACTCACATTCAATAAAATTAGGGTAAGATATGAACAAATGAAAGATTTACACGAAGACCCATGAAAACGTACAAGGAGAAAAAGTGTAAACATTTGTTAATCCACAGGAGCAATGTCACGTTCTCAAATGAGAACATAGTACATGGCAACGGACCAGAAGAACCAACTAGCAAACATCAAACACGTCTAGCTTCATATCACACAAAGAAATAGACTATTTCTTACTGTGATCACTATGACCGTAAAACTTCCCCGTGTTTTTAATTCTTGTAAATATTGTGTTATGTAATGAATGACGACTGTGAGGAAATGTATATGAATTATAAGTTAATTATCGTATCATCTGTAATCATGAAAAATCAGGATTACGGACGGATATGTCTAAAAATTACTGTCACCAGAGACATGTATGACACATATGTGATATATACTTCTCTACTGTCGCGTAATATGTTTGTGTCGTTATAGTTGCATGATAATCTGCGGTGGTGCTTGTTGGCTGTGCATATATGCCCCTCATACCTGTCCGACTATATTGTGTCACAAGACACTGCGGCTTGGCTCAGACAGTATGTGTGCGATTTAAGCGATCACGCAGTTAATTTCTTTCCGAAATGGTAATAGAAAATCTCAGTGACATTTAAAGTACTTATTATAGCCCTGTCATGTGAAACGCCAAATGATATATCGGACATTTAATTGAGATCTGTTTACATTTGTAACCGGTAACCATGTTTGATAATTAACGTTACAACAAAAACACACACACAAAAAAAAAAAAAAACTTAAAATTGATTATAATAAACGATCAAGAGTATCAATGTTAGGCTACAAACAGAGCACACGAGTGAAACAGTGGATGGAAAACAAGGAGAGACGACGGATCGAAATCATAAATAAAACCAAAGTGAAACGTAATTTCAAAAGTAATTTTTTAAGTTAAAAGAAGTTTGACATTATCTGTAACATATTTGGCCATCGCTGTTAATAAAGGAAATATAGAAACAGAGGAAACACATCTAAAGTTGTTATTTTTATATATAAAAAATGTCCGTGAATTTCAGAGATAATGCATGTTTAATGGAGAATAAAGAAAGATTAGGATTTGCTGTTGGACGTTTAGTCACCTAGTTTTGTAGTAACCTGTACGTCACAATTAATTTGAAAAGTGACATTTGTCAGAATATACATATGTATTTGATGAAGATTACGAAAAAAATGTTGAAATATGGAGCTAATGTTCTTCCCTCTCTCTCTATATATATATGTATATTTATATTTAATTCTTTCGAGCAATTTTGGTTTTCTGACTTTTCGTTATTTACTTGGATTGATTTACATAGTGGGTGTCGCCGATGAAGCAGAAAACGCTTTCTCTTCCAGAACAACTGGTCTTATTTTCCTTTTACTTTTTCAGAAGTCTCAATGTAAGTCTGTCTTTTGTTCGTATTTTGTCCTAGTGAGTTTTAGATTTTGATTATATAGAAATGTTGGTATTTTCTTGATTTTTTGTCTTGGTTTTCTTTTATCAGTAGATACATAAAATAAGTACATCATTTCATTAATATCTGCATACTTTCAGACCCCGAGCTAGACCAAATCAGACGAAAGACCGGGTCGAAGAACAAAGGAACATTAAAACTGGTATCGTACTCTCGTGGAGAAGGACAAGGACGTCCCTCTACATTTGCGTACGACAACTACAGTATAAATGAAGACATTTCTGATGGAAAGGACAACTGGAACTTAACGGCAATTAATCCAAAACAGCATTGGACTAAGGCAAAATGGCTGCGGGTAATTTTCATTACATCATGTTGTGATATTTATATAGAGTCCGGATAATATATCAGGAATTAGGGGGTGGGGTGAGGGTTGCATAAAACACATAATTCAAACTAAAATTGTATTTGGTAAATTATTTATTACATTTTTGTCACTGAAATACACGAACGGTTTTGTCTTATGTCAAGTCTAAAACCATTTTTGCAAGCGATTCTCACTAGATAAGGGTATAAAGTAGTAAAAATCCTTTAACAAGATGCCTATTCACAACGATCCTATTTTGATTTCAAGCGTAACTCCAAGGGACGTGCTTATATCTCCCAAGTTAATTGTGTTTGAATCGGATCTTATCTCCCTTAAAAACGAAATTAAAACAAAATTTAATTGTTTTCCGTTACATGTCATGTACATTTAAGGAGTAGACATAAAAAAATGTTGCGTACAATATTCAAGAAGAAAGTGCCACAACTGATAAGAAGTTGCATGTTGCATGCTTATTAACGGTAAACACTAAATAAACCAGAATGTTCCATCATATCTTATATCGAAACTCACCACATAACACCAAACATACGACACAGAAACAAAGGAAAAGTCAAAATATCAATGCATTCTGAAGGACAAACGCCTTCTGCTTCATTCACGATACCAGCGGATCTTTATCAATCTCAGCAAGTAATGTCACATTCCCAAATGGGAATAAGGTTAACAGCATCGGAACCATAAAACACTCTGACAGACATCGATTACTTACAACGTCACATCACATGAGAGAATAAAATCATTTACCGAAGAGATCGTTGTGTCGGCTTTAAACATATCCCCATCATCTTTATCAACCTACATCTCACAAACCTTTTGTTGTGGGATTATATGTCAGCTGCCATCTTACAAGGAATCGTGATGTTGGGAACATGTCTTTGAATAAAAGATAACATGTGAACACAATAGGTCGGGGAAGCCGGCATACTACAATCTAGGAATGAAATGTTACAATAAAGAAATCAGAATGATTCTGTCTACAATATAACTTGGTTGGAAAGTTGATTTTTTGGAAAGGGTCGTTATAAGAGGTTATAGAACAATCCGTTATCACATTGATTTCCAATTGGAATTACAATAATTACAAGCATTACATTTTGGTAGATATGACGGGAATAGGAACAGTATACGTTGAAAGTATAACTGGCTATCAGCAGTGACGAATCACTGATTATTTCAAAATGCAGAATGGCTGTCAGTTTAAACTAGGTATGTGCATGGTATGAACGTCTAAGTGAGCTTGACATGGATATCTTGCCTTGAATTTACAACAATTGTAGAAAGAAACATAATCAGGTTTACTTTTTTATAGAAATTTAGGTGGCCAAGCAGACATTCCGATGACAATAACGACGATGAACACAAAGAACAAGTTTGTCATTGTCCTCGTCAAACGTGCAATGGACAACGGAGTATAATAGTTTTGGCCCTTGTACTATGTATAATAGCCGTGGCTGTAGCGACTCCACTTCTGATTGTCTTCCTCTCCAGAAAAGGTATTGTTACACCTCGGTTGTGTACCTGTCTCCATGTAAACCTAATATATAAATCTAATTAGCAGCCATAACATTAACATCACTTCGCTGAAAAAAAAACTATAGATTATTTGATTGCAAGTGTTCTTTTGTCAAATCCCGAGAAAATCTCTGGTTGATAAGTTGTTTGTGAAAAGGTCGAATGCAATCGTACGAGTAATTATCTCATTTACAATAATCCTTTCTTCGTCTATATTTACAATCATCCTTTCTTCGTCTATATTTACAATCATCATTTCCTTGTTTATGTTTACTATAATCCTTTCATCGTCTATATTTACAATAATCCTTTCCTTGTTTATATTTACAATAATCCTTTCATCGTCTATATTTACAATCATCCTTTCCTTGTTTATATTTACAATCATCCTTTCTTCGTCTATATTTACAATCATCCTTTCATCGTCTATATTTACAATCATCCTTTCTTCGTCCATATTTACAACAATCCTTTCCTTGTTTATATTTACAATCATCCTTTCATTGTCTGTATTTACAATCATCCTTTCTTTGTTTATATTTACAATAATCCTTTCCTTGTTTATATTTACAATAATCCTTTCATTGTTTATATTTACAATAATCATTTCTTCGTCTGTATTTACAATCATCCTTTCCTTGTTTATATTTACAATCATCCTTTCCTTGTTTATATTACAATCATCCTTTCCTTGTTTATATTTACAATCATCATTTTTTTGTTTATATTTACAATCATCCTTTCCTTGTTTATATTTACAATAATCCTTTCATCTTTCATCATTTCTTCGTCTGTATTTGCAATAATCCTTTCCTTGTTTATATTTACAATAATCCTTTCATCGTCTGTATTTACAATAATCATTTCTTCGTCTGTATTTACAATCATCCTTTCCTTGTTTATATTTACAATCATCCTTTCTTTGTTTATATTTACAATCATCCTTTCCTTGTTTATATTTACAATAATCCTTTCCTTGTTTATATTTACAATCATCCTTTCATCGTCTGTATTTACAATAATCGTTTCTTCGTCTGTATTTACAATCATCCTTTCCTTGTTTATATTACAATCATCCTTTCTTTGTTTATATTTACAATCATCATTTCCTTGTTTATATTTACAATCATCCTTTCCTTGTTTATATTTAAAATCATCCTTTCCTTGTTTATATTTACAATCATCCTTTCCTTGTTTATATTTACAATCATCCTTTCCTTGTTTATATTTACAATCATCCTTTCATCGTCAGTATTTACAATCATCCTTTCCTTGTTTATATTTACAATCATCCTTTCATCGTCTGTATTTCCAATCATCCTTTCCTTGTTTATATTTACAATCATCCTTTCCTTGTTTATATTTACAATCATCCTTTGCTTGTTTATATTTACAATAATCCTTTCATCGTCTGTATTTACAATCATCCTTTTATCGTTTGTATTTACAATAATCATTTCTTCGTCTGTATTTACAATCATCCTTTCCTTGTTTATATTTACAATCATCCTTTCATCGTCTGTATTTACAATAATCCTTTCATCGTCTGTATTTACAATCATCCTTTCATCGTTTGTATTTACAATAATCCTTTCATCGTCTGTATTTACAATCATCCTTTCATCGTTTGTATTTACAATCATCCTTTCAATCATCTTGTTTATATTTACAATCATCCTTTCATCGTTTTTATTTACAATAATCATTTCATCGTCTTTATTTACAATCATCCTTTCCTTGTTTATATTTACAATAATCCTTTCATCGTCTGTATTTACAATCATCCTTTCTTTGTTTATATTTACAATCATCCTTTCCTTGTTTATATTTACAATCATCCTTTGCTTGTTTATATTTACAATAATCCTTTCATCGTCTGTATTTACAATCATCCTTTTATCGTTTATATTTACAATAATCATTTCTTCGTTTATATTTACAATCATCCTTTCCTTGTTTATATTTACAATCATCCTTTCATCGTTTGTATTTACAATAATCCTTTCATCGTCTGTATTTACAATCATCCTTTCATCGTTTGTATTTACAATAATCATTTCTTCGTCTGTATTTACAATCATCCTTTCCTTGTTTATATTTACAATCATCCTTTTATCGTTTATATTTACAATAATCCTTTCATCGTCTGTATTTACAATCATCCTTTCCTTGTTTATATTTACAATAATCCTTTCATCGTCTGTATTTACAATCATCCTTTCCTTGTTTATATTTACAACAATCCTTTCCTTGTTTATATTTACAATAATCCTTTCCATGTTTATATTTACAATAATCCTTTCATCGTCTGTATTTACAATAATCCTTTCATCGTTTGTATTTACAATAATCATCCTTTTTTATCATCCTGTATTTACAATAATCCTTTCATCGTCTGTATTTACAATAATCCTTTCATCGTCTGTATTATATTTTCACATTTATAAATCCTTTCATTGTCTGTATTTACAATCATCCTTTCCTTGTTTATATTTACAACAATCCTTTCCTTGTTTATATTACAATCATCCTTTCTTTGTTTATATTTACAATCATCCTTTCTTTGTTTATATGTACAATCATCATTTCCTTGTTTATATTTGCAATAATCCTTTCCTTGTTTATATTTACAATCATCCTTTCCTTGTTTATATTTACAATAATCCTTTCCATGTTTATATTTAAAATCATCCTTTCTTTGTTTGTAGCGAGCGCAACGAGCGCTTTTTGGTATTTTGTGTGTGTGATAATTCAACTCCAACAACCTGCCCAACTTTAAACGGAAGTGTGGCTGGAACCTCATTACCCACTAAACACTTGCCGCAGCACGCAATGAAAACTGCCGACCCGTTGAATGGAGTAAAATTATTTTGACCAACAAAATGTCTTTTTAAGTTTCCATATGGAAGTAAAATCATGCTAAAAAACTTAAATAATTCAAATGAATTTAACAAACATATACATTAATGGTTTGAAAACATATAACAAACTTCTCCGCCTTTACAAATTCAATTAAAACTTTAATATATTGTCGTTCACCATATTTTGACTACAAAATCCAAAGATGATAGATAGTCCTCTCTGCAATATCTGTAACTCTAAAAGAGAAACTCTAGTGCATTTATTTTGAAGATCTTTTTATCAATTTTTATCAGGTATGTTGTCAAAGCCTTTATTAATACATTATTATTACCATTGAAACCTATAACCATCACAAGTGTTTTGAGTCAATACTATGGCAAGGTAATTGCTCAAAACTTTTTACACTTATTAAGCTAGTAATATCTGTTGCTATGGTGAAGTTCTCCATTTAAATAATTTTTTATGTTACCAAGGAAACAGATAGGCCAAATCACAAAGTTCAGTTTTCTGACCAGTTCCCTTAAACTATTCAAGGTAATTACCTGTTACTCAAAGCCTTGTACAGGCATCAACCTAGTACTCTTGCAGAAGTTCTCAATTTCAATACTTTGTATGGAACAATCAGAAACAACAAATAGAAATTAACTTGTTATAATATTTACATATATATATTTATGTATATATGTGAGATTGTGTGCCTTTCTTTCAAACAGTTGAGCAAAGGGAAAATGTCATGTTTTGCGTTATCTTGTCGTCATTTGTTATGTTCTTATTTGTCTGCCATCATGGTGTATGATTGTATGTGCATGACCTACTTACGTATGGAAACTTTATTGTTTCAACTTATAAAAATCACACTTGTAAGCATAAGAAGGTTCTAACTCTGGGAGGAAATCGAACCCCGAACGGCTAGGTGAAAGACAAGTGTGTTACTACTGTTGTCCAACTTGTGCTCGCTTTTAGGCAGTGCCTATTTCATATTATTTATATTAATTCTTTCTTTGTTTTTATTTACAAATAAATCCTTTCTTTGTTAATATTTACAATCATCATTTCTTTGTATTAACAATCATCATTATTGCTTTATATACTTGTTATTATACATCATTATCTTCTATGGACTCATTCTATCATACTTGAATGTGCAATTGCCACTAAGAACACTATTTTTATTTCAGAAAACAAGGTCACAGTAGGTGAGTTCCTTATGAAATATTCGAAAAAGAATATTTGATATGTGTCGATATAAATTAATACATAAGGATTCGCATCCATGTACAACGAAATAATGACATAAGATTTTAATCTGAATGTATTTAATAAGATTTTGTGAAAATCCCAATTTTTGGCGTTTCTTACATGCTTTACATGAACTATAAAACTATTGTTGAAAATCAGGAAGAATAAAACTGGAGTTAACACTGGCTAACCGGTATCAACCAGGCATGGAGAATTCTACGTCCACCATGTTCCAGTCGACCGAAACGGAGCTCTGTACGGAGGTAATGTAACGTACACACACCAGGAAACGAATAATATTCTTAGAATACTATCACATGAAAACGAATTTTCTAGATGTCCTAGATTTCTTCCATTCTAATTTTTGTTTTGTTAAATTATAGTTACAACCGATATTGCCAACACGTCATCATAATACATTTGTTTATAGATACTTGTATAAGGAACATTTTGAGACACAATATTGTATAAATGAAGAGATCTTCTCTTGTGGTTTTAGACCGATTTATTTCCATTGTGTTTGTTTGTGATTCCCAAATAATATTTTTATTGAAAAATCTTATTCTGGAATTTGCATGTTCATTTCGTGCCCATTTCGTTGGATCTCTAAAAGCTTCATCATCACCAACATCATCATCAGAATCATCAATATAATCACCACTACCACCACCATCATCATCATCATCATCATCATCATCATCACTAAAACTACCACCACCACCATCATCATCATTATCATCATCACTACCACCACCATAATCATTATCATTTTCATCATCATTATCATCATCACTACCACCACCACCACCACCACCATCATCGTCGTCGTCGTCGTCGTCGTCGTCGTCGTCATCATCATCTGTAGTACGTTATATTACCCATTATAATGTAAACATGACGAAAGTTCCTAGTATTAAGAATGATACCTCTACAGGACAAATCTTGTTCCTATCATTATGTACAAAACCGTTCATCACCATAACCTCATCCCATGCTACATTGATACTGACCAGAAAATGAACATATGTTGCTTATCTAATGTCAATTCATGATTTATATATATATATATATATATCAGACAATTTGTACAAAAACAGGTGGAGCAGGCATTCACCACATCAGGGTACTTTCCAGATGATACCATCCTCAGTTGCAGCCTTGAATCACTCAAGTAAGCAACCATTATATTTTACTCTTGTAAAATGGCAGTACATGTATGAGTCGCTTGTATGCATGTATGCAATGATCAAACGTAAGTGTCAAGAAACCGAGAGTCGGACTTGATTGTGCTTTTCGTTATGAACAAAGCGTGATTTGATTTTAGCCGTTGTACGTTTTGCATCAGTCAGTTAAACAGATAACAGAATTGTAAACAAAGTAATTAATGGACATTTTACAACTTAATTCGTAAATCTTAACACAGAACAAATGTTTGTATCCAGTGTTCATCTATGCCAATACAACGAAGAAACAATGCTGTCGTTTTAAAAACTAAAACATTTAATGATTCCGTTGATTTTTGTTCTTCTAGAAATGGCAGCATCATCGCTGAGCTTGGATTCAATATTTCCAGTCAACACACTATACCAGACGACGACAAGTCTGTCCAGGCAATCATGTTCTTTGTCGGAGATTCTGGGAAGCTTGGTTCATTTACTCTTGCAAGTATAAGAGTTGTCAGCGCTTCTGCAACAGAAGAGGTTGAATTGATGAGTACTGTAGAAACAAACTTAGAACCAAATCTTACACAATCCAACAACCAGACAAATCCAGAACGCATAACTACGTCAGTCACTCTTGGATCAGCAGCAACGCCAACAGCTGTAGTGTCAAAAGCAGCCACAACGACTTCTCCAGCGTCAACATCAACAACCCAAATGCAAACCACGACCATAACCAATCCAGATAAAGCGATAGTTGACCCAGCGCGTACTCCACCGACAACCATAACGCTTTCCAAGCAAGCTCCAAACACGACCACCCATACAACATCCACAACCATTCCGGTGCCAACGACTCCAGTGCCAACTAAACCGATAACCACTCCAGCGACCACCACCATAATCACCCCAGAGCCAATCACAACTACAACCAACACAGCGCCGACCACCACGACAACCATCCAAGCGCCAACCACTACGACAAAATCCCCATCATCGACCACAACGACAACGACCCAAGCGACCACAACCACGACAACCAAACCAGCGCCAACCACAACTACAACCACCCCAGCGCAGACCACAACTACAACCACCCTAGTGCCGACCACAACTATAACCACTCCATCGCCGACCATCACGACACCCACCCCTACGCCAACCACAACTACAACCACCCAAGCGCCGAGAACCACAACAACCACCGCGACAACCACTCCAGCGCCAACCATAACTACAACCACCCTAGCACCGACCACCACGACAACCACCTTAGCGCTAACCACAACTACATCCACCCCAGCGCCGACCACAACTACAACCACCCAAACGCCGACCACCACGACAACCACCCCAGCGCCATCCACCACGACAACCGCCCCAGTGCCAACCTCAACTACAACCACCCCAGTGCCAACCCCAACTACAACCACCCCAGTGCCAACCACAACTACTACCACCCCAGCGCCGACCACAAGTACAACCACCCCAGCGCCGATCGCCACGACAACCACCACAGCGCCGACCACCACGACAACCACCACAGCGCCAACCACCACGACAACAACCACAGCGCCAACCACAACTACAACCACCCCAGCGCTGACCACAACTACAACCATCCTAGCACCGACCACCACGACAACCACCTTAGCTCTAACTACAACTACAACCACCCCTACGCCAACCACAACTACAACCACTCCAGCGCCGACCACCACTACCACCACCCCAGCGCCAACCACAACTACAACCACCCCAGCGCCGACCACAACTACAACCACTCCAGCGCCGACCACCAAGACAACCACCACAGCGCCGACCACAATTACAACCACCCCAGCGCCGACCACCACGACAACCACCCTAGCGCCAACCACAATGACAACCATCTCAACGCATACCACCAATATTTCCGGCTTTTCCCCGCATGGTAAATATGATCTTACTTTTGAGTTAATTCGGTCTGCTATATTAAATCGTTTAACTGGTGCTGTTTCTATTTCTTTTTATTCTGTGAATTATTCACGCCGAACTACATACGCAACGTAAAATAAGTTACGTCAACTTAAAAATGCATATTGACAATCATGTCGAAGCAAAGATATATGATTATTTCAGCGACAAATATAATTCTTTGTTGATATAAAAAAAACAATCATGAAGTTGAAAGAAATAAAAACGTGCAGATGAGCAGTAAATCAAAACACAAACTAATATATGCTAAGTGTATATTTAGTGGGAAGTATGCATGTTATTGCTATTCTACATTAACTGGGAATGTTATGATGAAATTTGGTTTTAAAATGAAATCTAGTCAAAGATTAAAACGAACAAATAATAGTGTTGTCATTGAGATTGTCTCCCCTCCCCAATTTCGCTTAGTAGTACATGTCGTCCATGGACAGGTTAAAGATGTAGCCTCGTCCTGCTGTTTTTTCTGTGGGTGGATCTCTTTTAATTGTCAGATATATTACTGATATTGAATACTGTCATGATCCGTATTTTGATTAGTAATGTTGTAATGATAACGGAGAGGCTACAATGTTTTTTTTTCTGGCTAGGTCATACAAATGTCAATAATACACTATTTGTCTAGTCTACAGTCCATTGATGTATTTTTGTGTTGGTTTTTGCAGACTGCAACGAAAAAGTTGATGTTATATTTCTGCTTGACGTATCTGGAAGTATAGGAACTGCTAATCTTATATTTATGAAGTATCTCATCAAAAATTTTACGGAAAATATTCCACTGGGTCCTAACACTACCCAGATTGGTATTACAACATTTTCAACAACTCCCAGCACTGAATTTTGGCTTAACGAACACTACGGAATTTTAACACTTCACCAAGCACTAGAGAATATCGTTTACAAAAGCGGAGGATCATACATAGCCAGAAGCTTGGAATATGTAAGGGCGTATTCGTTTGCAGCTGTTAATGGCGCAAGACAGGACTCTAAAAAGGTTTTGATTCTTATGACAGATGGAATATCGCATGATAACTCGACAACAATCGCCACTACACTGAAGAATGATGGCGTTCTTGTAGCATGTGTCGGAATAGGCAGACACGAAATAGACATGGACGAGTTAAACGATATTGCTTACAACTCCTCGTATATTTTTTCCGCGTCTGATATTGATTTATTAAACCATATCCAAGATATTGTGAAAAGCTCGCCATGCGAACTCGCCGACAACACTTAGAATATGTGTTGGAGATTGGCTTTTACATCATGCGAAACTTAAAAATAAAGAAATATTTTTTTATTATGAAAAACAACGCCCAGTCTAGATTCTAAAATCTACATTCCTTTTGATTTCCTTTCATTTGATTTCCTCAGTCACCTTCTAGATTCCAAAACTGTAGACCCTCGCATACACCCGCTTTCAAGATGGCGGCTTACTTTATGTTTATCAAATCGGCAGAGGAGAGCACATATTACGTCCTATACAGACATCAATTACTTATGGTGAAACGTTTTCAACTTTCAGCTACCTACATTATAGTTGATGCTTTATCGATAAACTTGTAAAACATTGAATTTGACCGATCATTAATCACAAAAGGAGGCACGTTTAAACAAACTGAATGGTTACATTACCTTTTCATACCTTATGAATAGCGTCCTTGCAATGAATGTAGATTGAAAATTAATTAGGCACTCTCTGTTAATGATGTTCTAAAAGGCGATCAAAATGGCGAATGATGGTAGACACAACAGCGAGTGTCAGTTAGTGGTAATTTGAAGATAATATGTGTTAATACATTGTCTTTCTCAAAAAGTAATATAATTTTGTGAATACTGTAATCATAGGTATTACAACGCTTGACTGAAATCAAATTCACGGATATACCTAGTCTTAAACGTATATAAAATATAGTGTGATTTTTTGTATTATCTCTTATTAAAATGTGGTATATATATAAGTATATAGTATATACATGTGGTTTTTTTTTGTTTTTAACTAAATATCAAAAACGTCTTTGTAAGTGTAATAATATACAATATCGGACATAACTAACCAGGAATACGACATTTCGCTAGCAGCAGCAGTTGTAGTTGTAGCGTAACGGGAAGAGATATATCGAGAGTTGTGTTCCCGTATGCAGACAAAGTATATCTGTATATTCATACCTAGTGTTCAAAATATAAGTAAACTGTTTAATGTTAGATTGTATATTATTTGTCAAGAATAGAATGTGTGGCATATGTAGTTTGAGAGCATTTTTGTATTTTAGAAGCATTGTGAGTAAAAGTATTTAGGTTGTATGTGTTGTGAAAACGATTTGTACTTATCTATATGTGCCATTGTTTTGAATGTGTGATTGTATAGATGTGAAGATGTGCTGACAACTGTGGAGGAGCCGAGGGAATTGGGAAACTGTACTGAAGACTGGTATATCCTCATGTTATATGTATGCTGGTACTCCCTTGTTATCTAGTTACACTGAATACATAACAAGTAGGAGTTGTGTGCCTCCAGTGTTGCGTATGTCTGTAGAAGAAAAAAAATGACCAATCACAGGCTGATAAGCTCCTTTTGAATAACAAAAGAGCGACATCTAACTTCAAATCCATTACAATATACCGTTATGCGATCTCGAGATTCGTTTGATGCACAACAAGTTATTCTTTTCGTCTTGTCTCATATGGAACCGTCAATTTTGCCATGACATGTTCCAGGGGTGCAGAGAGCGAAAAGGATCGTAACCCCTGGAGTATCGAGGATGGTTTTTTTATGTAGGCCTCGATGGGGCGGTCAACATAGGACGTGTCTTTTTAGTTCAAGATCACCGCCTCGAGACAATAAAACATCCCTGGTCTGATGTAAGTGTTCCACAGATGACTTATAATTTGTGGGTTCACTGCACTGTAACCATGTAGACCTGTCTCATTACCCTGTTCCCCTAGCAAGGTGAACCCTTTCTTCTGAATATTCATGACAAAATACTTGTTTTTTGTGTGATTGGTTTATCTACAGGTATTTGTAGTTTGGAACAATATACAGGCTCATGTTGTTGATGTCCAGCTTGGGTAGTCACTGCCGTACATATATGGCAAAGTGTAGCCGAATCGACTACTGTACATATTTACCGTCTTGTGCTTTTGTATTCTGTTATCGGTTTACCATCTCGTCACATTATTTTCGGCCTAGGTGTAAATACGTTAGTGCTAATACGCTTCACAATGTTCATTTTTCTTATCATGTGACAGTGTAGTCATCGAAACGTCATACTTATAGGTCATCTATATATCGATTGGTTCAATTGGGAAGTATTCTCTCGGAAAGCATGCTTGAATTTCCATTTCGTATCTGATCTGATATGTAAAAAATATTTTCAGAATCTTTCGTTTATTTCTAACCTTTGGGCGAGGAAAAAAAAACATGTGACAAGCTAGTTTCGTATATCTTATAAGAATTAAATCAAATGTAAGTTTAAGTGCATTTCATAGTTTATATGCTTTAGTAAGCGTTTGGCTTAAAACGTTTATTTAATATATCTATGGTAAAAACAATTCAGGAGATGGTTTTACATAAGCTTCAAGCTTGTTACTAAATCCCCTTGATTAAGTTTTGAATTATATGTATATTTCAATACTAACGTTTATTTTTTTTAACTGATACAACATTTATTATCCACTCCATTTCTCATTCTTTGCTGACGTCATGCATGTGACTCCATCAAAGTATGTCGTCAGAATTGCAACAGAGGAAGCCGTCAGCCAGTCACAACTTTGCTAAATGTACACATGTGATCACGGCACTTACTCTATGGATATTTGATGATAAAAAATGAAAATAACTACACGTGTTTGTACGTGGCAAATACGATTTTATTAGCGTTATGAAAATATAAATGAAGTTCAATAGAAAGATGAATAACATACCACGTGGATTCGGAAAACTATAATCAAACTAACAACTTACTACAACTAGCGACATTCACACTTCAAATGGCTTTTCGAGTTTATTTTTGAAAAGACATCATAATGACGTTATAACTGACTTGATTTCACTATATACCTAATATAGAAAATTGAATTAACGCATTTACTATGGCTTGTCAAGTTCATAAAAAGTAGATATATACTTTTTTCTCTTTTGTTTTATTTTTTTAAAAAAATCTGTAATCTCATCGAAGTGTATTACATTGGTTCGGTAACTACATAATGTTTGTAGAGCGAAAAGATCATGTTAGACCAGAGACATATATAGCACATATATGTGATATATACGTCTCTAGTTAGACTGAAATACGAAATTATGAAAACCGGATTTAAGTTAATTGAGTTCAAGAAAAAAGTCAAGAGTCATTTCTGTCGTTCTTTTCTCTTCCCCCCCCCCCCCCCCCCCCCCCCCCCCCCCCCCTCCCTTACAATATAAAACTGATCACACAGAGGTACCTCGCTTTATTTCATGTTATTAGTATTTATAAAATGAAAGCTTAAGCCGATGGGTGAAGGGGGAAGTTGGGAGTAGGCGAAACCGGGACACCCATTGTAATGATCATAAAATTGGTAAAGTGCGCCCTTAAATTGCCACTTGGAGCTCCTCTAACGTTTTCGTTATCGATACCGAGAGACTCGAGTCTTCCGGGTTTGTTGACAAACGAAAACAAAATGCCTGCTGTGAAACTGTGGTACGTATACGTTTGATCGGGAATTAAATCTGTCTACCTCATGATATTGTAGAATAAGGGGATGCATGGTAAAGTTTCAACCTCACTACATCTGATCGTTTTATGTCAACGCGCAATCAATATTTTGTAGAAATGTATATCAGTATCAAACTCCAATCACGGGTGCACGAGGATCATCAGTAATCTTTTCTGGTGAGTCGGGTAGGTTAACAAAATTGGGGCGAGCCCCAAGATAAGCAAGAAGTCCAAGGGTATCACTCCCCCCGGGACACCCATTAGGTATACCGGGAGTCCAGGACTCAAATGTTTGACAGTTTTGTCAAAAAAAATCACTGAGCATGCAAAAAATTAGAACGCTCACAACTACATAATACACGCTAGCGTGATACTGATAGCTTGATATAATTTTCAATGCTGTTGTACATATTGATGACAGCCTACATGAAGTGTGCGTATACACTAACATATTAAGGTTTAGACCGAAAATTTCTGTGTCTTGATTAACAACTTATTGCCTATATTAACTTTTGTTATGCTGTTACTGATGTTTACATTTTTAGTGACTTAAATGAGCATCGTTAGTAAAAATGTAAAGAAAATAAATATGGACACTGGAATTAAATTATCATTTTAGAGACAAAAGTGTTTGGTCTAATCAAGCTTTTATCAGTGGAAATCATTGTTAGGCCATATGTACTTGTCCTAAGTTATGGTGCAACGCAAATGTCCAATTCCTGTGCTGTAACACACCTCCTCAATTCAGATTTTTAATATATGTATATATTATATGAAAAAAACCAGTTCATGTTCATACAACTGTAAACGTGTATAATTATATATTATGCTAATTATGCTGAAATTTGACATTTTGTATACAATTATTGACATATATTTTAACAACACAGAACACATCTAGTCAACAGGGTTATGTTTTCCGTGTGACAAGGTGTCATTAAATTGTACTGTTGACAAGCTTAAGCTTGGGTGTGTTTGGATATATTTTAACTTTATTCACTTGTTAAGCTGAGTTGCTCACAGTGTTACTATTTTGGACCAAGAAATGATTTAAACACAGCTTGTCAAGACACTTATGTAAAGGTTGTACGTTGTATATGTTTTCAGACCTAGAGAGTGCACAACGTGTATATTTGAGTTCATCTTGCGGGCTATTCAGTTCTTTATGTGACATTGGTCAAGATTAATTTTCCAGTTCACTTTCACAATATGCGATTGAATTGTTTTTAAAGTTACAAAGACTGTGTTCATGTTAATCATACAAATCCTAAATTTTATCTGTAAAAAGACAATTGAATTCAAATGCAAAAGAAATGAAAATATGCATGTATATTTTGTATAGATATTGAGTCTGTACTTGCCTAACCAATAAAAGGGAAAAACACTTTGTATCTACAGAATCCTTTGATTTACTTCCCCCAATCATTAAAAGGAAGGAAGAACTGCACTGCCATCTGTGTCAACGAGTGTGCAGTAATGAGTCTACATTTAAGTCCTGAGTCCTGTACTCATAGATGAAACTCATAGAATGTCTTGAAAATACTTAAATTTTATACTTTGGGACCCATTGTTTGTAGTAATTAAGTTGAAAAGGACTCATGAAAACAAAGATTGATCACTGAGAGTGGAGAAGCTGATATAACAGTATAACAATCTCTCTGGGGGTAAAATGTTCATGTAGAATGTAAAACGATCATCAGGTACACATTTATAGATACCCTGATAGATTAAACAATAAATGTGTACCTGATGATCCTAGTTATTTCGGGAACTTTATGTTACAGTTACCCGACACTGCCAAGAGTTGTGCAGAAATTACGGCTGCTGAAGATATATCCATGTCCTAATGTGTCTTCTGTACATCTGTGCTCATACAACCATCCACAAGGATATACAACCATAAAAGAGGGTAAATACTAAGGCAGAGAAGAAAGCAATGTCTTCTAAGCTGGAAGTTGTGACACAATAAAATTATGACTTTTGCTTGCTTAATATACTTAAACATCAGTTTTTTGCTTATACAAAAAAAATTGTCTTTCAACGGCCTTAATTTGCACTGAAACTTCGAAGCAATTCCGTCATTATATAATGAAAGAAACTTACAATCTCTCGAATCAGACAAACTAGTACAAGTAAGTGTGTAAGAAGTCTTTTAGAAAAAAACCAGATAAAATGGTATTTTCTCTTTTGCTGGCTGCAATATTGATATCATACGTAAAACTATTTATCAGCAAACACAATATTTTGGAATATGTTGTCTAGCTTTTATACCACTGTCTTAGCACTTTATAAATCCTAATGTCAGATGAAAAACAGGTCTATTAGAAGGTTTTACTTCCAAATGTAGATATACACCTAGAAGTCAGAGCGATATTTGTGTCGTTATGTACAAGCAGTGCTTCATTACTTACCTCAGCCTAGCCTGAACACCAGAGTTTCAGTGTTCAGAAGATTTTATTCTGTGAAATGAGAGGATGTATTTTCTCAAATCCTAGGATGTTTCCACCCTGTATACAAGTAAAAGATCAAACCAAATTTGTATAAGTCTTAATCGGATCCAATGATAATCGTGGCAGATAATAGGGTACATATATCTGTGAATCGTCCCTATAAGATTGCTGATTGGGTTATACGTATTTATGTTTACAAGATATTGCAATTGGTTCATCTCTTAATGGGTTTTATCATACACTCCTACAATATACACAATGCAGTGAAACATTGACATCTGATGAGTTGTATATGTTTGATATCATACTCTATGTCACCTAAATATTTAGACCACAAAGTACTGAATATCTTACTGTCAACTTTCTAAACTAGAAATGTCGGATGAAGTAATGTATGTTGAAAAAAAACCATATTTAATCTTTAAATTCAACAGCTCTTATATTAATAGGTCATAAGTCGTGCTCTATAATTGACAAATTAGTTGATAGTGGTGCAATATTACTGCTTTGATTTTTGTAACATGCATATTTAAACTCAATATTGCTGCAAGGTTTAAGAATTATAACGCAACCAAGTACACATACAAGAATACAGATCAGACAGATTTCTGTGGAAATAGATAGGGTTGCCAGGTGTTCTAACTACATGAACCTGGAAAAAACATATCAAGTGAAATATCTTATTCACCTCTCTGTTTTCTAGCAAGAGAAAAGCTGAAAGATCTAGTAGGAGCTCAAAAGATATGGGGGTAAGTAACAATGGCTTGATATTTTTTCTGTATTTGTTATGATGCAACATATTTTAAACTCTTGAAAGGCATCCATTCCTCTGTTGATGTTTTCCCTGACCTGGTTTGCTATGAGTATCCTTTGCTATATACAGAACACAGACAGAAGTTTCTGGCCGGCCTCAGATATCCTTCACACAAGAGGACTTGCCAACGAGAACAATGAAAGACAGCTACCAAGAAGCAGTTATCCCCCTTGGATCAAATCCAACTACCAGAGAGAAATATATCAATTTCTATGATGGGATACGTTTTGGTAGAATTTTGGAGGATCTTGATACTTTTGCAGGTACCAGATATAAATGCTTTGTAACATTTTCTCTTGGAAACAGCTCAGAGAAAAACAAAAACATGATTGCCCAAACTTGCATTTGGTAGTACATCTGTAATGTTGTGTCTTGATTTTCCACTTTAAAAACCCTATGTATGTCATGGCCTAGCAGATAAGCAAAATAGAATATAATGCATAGGGTGATGTTCTATTGTTGTAATTATTAGCAGAATGATATTAGATGTACTTTTTGTAGTTACAAGGAATTTACGACAACATCAAATTATCTAAGTCACCACTCACTCACTGACTTATAGACAGAAAAACTGAAAGAGTTCTAATCTATTTCATGGATTACAAAATAATACCTACAATATGATTATTTAGTGAATTAGTGTTTAAAACATCTAAGTGATCTTGTTTGTGTTTTTTTTTAAAGTTTTTATCAGTTACACGCACACCACACATGATGATGAGACGTCGGACCACAAGTCTCCAATCGCCATTGTGACTGCCTTGGTGGACAGAATTGGTAACATCTCGGAGCTTACTATAAAACATAGTTATATTATTCATAAAACAATTATAAGCTTATATAAACATTATCAGTCTTCAAGAAATTATGTGTAAAGATACAGAAATGTGTGTTACTATACTTGCTATATACAAGAAAGAATAAATTGAGGTAATGAACATTGTTGTCAGACATACATGTGCAAAACCTTTGGTTTTATTGTAATATTAATGTCATCATGCACACATTTTACTCGGTGAAGACGGGAAGTTGTAAAATCTCCTTAAACCCGGATATATAAAATGTACAAAATAATGTTATTCTTTTGTTCATTCATAATGTATACTGTAAAATTATTTTCATGTTGATCAATTTTCTTAGCTTTTAAAATAAATAGTTTTATGAATATGTGGTTCATGGATAAAAAAATCCACTTGTTTTGATTTTAAAAGATGATGGACATATGAATTACGGATTAAGAGTGTCCTTAAAATTATCAAAAATAAATTTGCAACAAAAAATTATAATTTTATTACAGTAGTTTACATTTTATGATACAGCTGTAACATTTTCTTGTTGTCCTTGGTAGATAGCAGAGACATAGATACTTATTAATTCTATATAGGTCTGGTAAAGGATTTGAAATATCAAGGATTGATCATGAAGAGCCAATTTCCCCAGACATTTTGTGAATAACATTGACTAATAAAAAGTTTCAAATCAAATATCATTCCTGAGAGAAAGTGGTTATGATTTATTTTCAGGAGTCTTTTTTTCAACTAAATTACTAAAATGTATGGGGTTTTCATGTAAAGTTAAATTCTTTCATAAATTATATGAGTCTCATCATCTAATGATAAATGATTACTTTGTCATGCCATGTCCATTCCTTGTTATCTGCCATCTTCAGTGGTGAGTGTTTGTGTTTCTGTGGATCTTTGATTTTTTTTATTTTGTAGAGTTGGAGGAACATCCTATTGCAGCAGACAAAGACATTCTAATGACTGGTCATGTGACCTGGGCTGGGAGTAGCTCTCTAGAAGTCACTATGAAGCTGAGACAGGTAATTATCTCCCTGTCTATTACAGATATATCAGAAATAACACACACTTTAGATTAAAAAATGTATTCATTGTCGCACTTTCCTATAAACTTACTTGTGATATAACACACTGATAATGGAATGATTGATGTATTATAACACATTTATTGTAATTGATTAATGGAACGAGTATGTATATTGACACACTGATAATGGAATGATTGATTTATTATTACACATTTATTGTAATTAATAAATGGAACGAGTATGTATATTGACTTGTGCATGTCACACTAGAAACTATCTTGCATTTTCAACACAAATAACATTGTCTTTTAATGTGATCACCCTATTTCCTGTTATAATATAATTACATTCGTCACTGACTTCACTAAAAACTGACTCCACAATTTACTTTTTATTCCCTTCATAATTTATTTAATTTTGTATTGTTATGTTAGAAATGAAATTCATATGAAATTGAATTGGTATATTTTGTTACAAATTGTAAATATCATATACAATGTACGAGTCATCATCATATAAAATATTTGAGTCAGTATCATGTAAAATATATGAGTCAGTAACATATAAAATATTTGAGTTAGTTGTAACGAGAACCGATCGGCGTTTTAAAGACTCTGCTTCAATACAGAACCCAACAACTACTTACAATATATGCAATTTATTCACACTATTTTACATAAACAATGCTATCACTCTCTCTCTCTCTCAAATTACATCCACCTCCATGATTCATACCCTGAAAATATCTACAAATCTACAATTAAATTCATATTTCCTATACCTTTACACAATACACTACACAAATCTACAGTCTTTGTAGCAAGGGGTAGAACATTCAATGTCCTCCTTATTCCCTGTAAACTGGCACGTGTACAGTTCTAACACAAAAACTCCCGTCGATCCAGGCAGGAAATAGCTTATGGCACCAAATACATGATCTCACAGATCTACACAAAAAAACTCAGAACTATGGATAGTTTACATCCAGGCTGATGTACTTTGACAACAGCCAGTCAAATGTCGTTGTAATTCCAGTGTAGATATCAATCACCATCACTGTACCAGGTAAGTGAATGGCTTCCTTGCAATGGAATATGCAGAGATTGTCACCATCAATTTCATCAGAGCTTCAGCTTTATGCCCTGTGTCAGGTGGTCAGCGTTGCTTGTTGGTCGTCAGCCTATTAAGCTACAATATATAATAACTATAACCTAACATCTATCGTTAATTAATATTTACAAAACAAAACATATCTTATGGATAGGTTTTATATTAAATATCACGTACGTTTACGTACTTAGATAATCATAATCAATCACATTTACTATTAACGATCTATACCCATATTATGTAACTACTAATACATGCTAACTGATGATATCTATATTTCAGAACATATTATAATTCTATAGAAATATTCACAACTAGAGTATTCGAGCGGCGCCTATACACACCATAACACACCACTAGCACATGCATTACTCCCCGAACATATGAGTTTGTTTACATAGTACTGACTACACCTGAACAGTAGCGATAACCAGCATTATATAATATACCTCATGTACGCCCTATAACCACCCATATTGGTGATGAATATGTATACGTCCCAATTATAAATTAAAGTATTAATTTAAAATGTGAGTTAACTTACTGTAATCTGTGTTTTACACTCTGAAAATGGAATGAATACAGCCCACTCTCATGTCTGTCAAACCACCCACCTATTCTCTTGGTCGCGAATGCGTTACTTATCGGAACAGTGACTTAATAAGTTTATGGCGCGATATTCAAAACTTACATTTATTTATTCTGGTTTAAATGGCATGTGACATTAGTATCATATAAAATATATGAGTCAGTATCATATCAAATATAGGAGTCGGTATAATATAAAATATATGAGTCGGTATCATGTAAAACATATGAGTTAGTATCTTAAAAAATATATGAGTCAGTATCATGTAAAACATATGAGTCAGTATCATGTAAAACATATGAGTTAGTATCTTGTAAAATATATGAGTCAGTATCATGTAATACATATGAGTCAGTATCATATAAAATATTTGAGTCAGTATCATATAAAATATTTGAGTCAGTATTATTTGAAATACCTGAGTTAGTATCATATAAAATATACATGTCATTATCATATAGAATATATAATATGAGTCTGTGTTTAATACAAAATGTACAGTAAACATGTTTACTGCAAAATGATCAGCAGATGTTTTGTTCTATCTTGTAAAGTACTGTAATAAGTGACCAGTTGATGTTTATTGTAGGATGGTGAGTAAACAAACATCTCGCTGTGTTTTACCAAAGTATACGGCTAAATAGACATTTAACCTAATAAGGTGAACCTCGTAAATATTGTAACACAAACTTTCTTTTAGATACAGGTTGATTTTTTTTAATATAGAATTATATTTCAATTGTACTAAAACACTGGACCATGTTGTTTACATTCTTAAGTTATATTAATAATTAATATGATAAAATGAATCATAAAATTATATTGGCAAGAATTTTCAAGTTTCGGAAAATATTAAGGACATGGATAGAAAATGGTGACATAGATAATAGGTAGAGAAGAACTATTTGTTAATGTCCAAACATTTGTCAAAAGTTATTTTCACCCAGTGAGTGGGATAGTGATTGGCCGACTAATATTGCCTCTGATGTGGATTAGAGGTAAAACTAGGCAGTCAATAGATATCCCACTCGCTGGTGACAATTAGTGTGTGTTGCGATTGAAACATACGGATTAATTTTGATATTTTATTTCTTTTCGGTTTCACACCTAAAGCACAGCGCCTCACTTATCAATCAGCTCACTCAGAACTGACTTTGGTTCTATATTTTTTTTGTTAAGTTATTTACGCTTAAAAAATTAACTTTGACACTTTTATTTGTAACAAATGTTTATTTAATGTTGTCATCTAGACAGATGCTGAAGCCTGTTTCTACACTTGTATTTTACAGGAATACGAGGGATCAATGCGACAATTACTTGAAGCTAGGTTTGTGATGGTGTCCAGGAACCCAGTCACACAAAAGTAAGCGAATACAAGCGTAGCATGAATCATGTATATATAAAGTTGTTATATTTACTGTAAAATCATAAATTTTTTGTGGAGCTCAATTTTCATGGTTTTCAAAAATCAGTATTTCCCGACCATTTGTTTTTGTTGATAATATAGCTGTATAAAATTAATGTATTTAATATACTAATTATGTCAATTTGTGGAGTATGGAGATTAATGATTATTTTGATGGTTGCAGGCAAATTTTGTTCTGTACATATACCAGAATGATTTAAACAATCTTGAAGATATTGGGTAGATACTTAATATCAATTAGTGATTTGTTTTATCGTATCATTTTCTAAATCAAGTCTGATAAATGTTAGGTATTCTCTAGTTAGTTAGTTCATATGTAGCATAAGTATATTGGAGTTCAATTTTTTGTTGCAAGTAGAAGTTAAAATCTTGACTGAGGAAATTTCTGATCAATTCATTGATACATATCTTTGCCAAGAACAATTATACAACAGGATGTTCGTGGTAGGCTTTATATGTGAAACCTACCATACAGGGAGTGTTTTTGGTACTGTAGATAAGGCTACTGGGTAAATTTGAATCCAGCTTAACAGGAATCAGTCTTCAAACTGCCAATGCACTGTAAACCAACTTAGTTTTGCGCAATCAAATTTTCGTCCATGACCACTTTTTGGCAAATTGGCACAATGCTAAATTCACGCATCCACAATAATTACTATTAGAGCAGTATAGAGATATTGGATTTTGTACAATCATATTTTGGCACAATATTTTCAACATGAAAAATATTATAATAATATTACTGCTGAAATACATGTATGTACATTTACAGAATTGCATTTTGTTTCTCTTTCAACCAATAGTCCTTTATAGAAAATAAGATGTTTACCTTTTACGGAAAAAACAAAATATTTAACATGCAAGTACTGACTTTAATTGCCAAGGTCTGCACCTGTGAATAAACTTCAACCAGTTGGCCCTGAAGAGGAGAAATTGTTTAAGTTGGGAGAGAGTAAGTTTCCATTGGTTCATATTTCTTACAATCTTCCCTATAGCAACTGACTGATATTGTGCTGTAATTCAAGATAGAGGTCATTTTTCTATAGCCAGCTTGATGCAGATATGTGTCAATGTTCAAGATATTTAAAAGCATTGTTGTGGAATTACAAATCTGAATTTGATGAGTGTTGAGGTAAATTAGGCTGATGTAACTCACAGGATTATATAGTGTTAAATGCATGTAATTTAAAAGCAGTTTGAACCCAGCAAGATGAAAGTAGTAGATGAAAGGACGTTATGAGAAGGATTTGAAAACATTATATGAAATGTCTTTTAGCTAACAAGGTAAAGAGGCAGCTAGAAGGGGAGAGAACTCTTCTGAAGACAGCGCCCTCAGAAGAAGAACGTGAACTGATACATAAACTTTTCCTTCAGACTTTAGACTCAAGGTACAGAAATAAAGTTTCCTGTATTTGTTTTGTGACCATGGAAAAATATTAGCTGCAAAATAACGCATGGCTAGATAGAATTTTTCTATATCTCAGTCAGTTGAATTTTTGAATAATAAGCCAGTAGTCCTGCTTTGATTCCTAGTGAAGATGTCTGTATTAACAAATAACTTATGTTACAAAGTCATGGTAGAAACTGAAGTTTTACCACACAGTAATATGAATGAATATTATATCTAATCACAAAAATTGCTATTGTATGATACATCTTCTACCAGCTGGCTTTTGTATGATACATCTTCTACCAGCTGGCTTTTGTATGGCACATCTTCTTCCAGCTGGTTTTTGTATGGCACATCTTCTACCAGCTGGCTTTTGTATGGCACATCTTCTACCAGCTGGCTTTTGTATGGCACCTCTTCTACCAGCTGGCTTTTGTATGGCACATCTTCTACCAGCTGGCTTTTGTATGGCACATCTTCTACCAGCTGGCTTTTGTATGATAAATCTTCTACCAGCTGGTTTTTGTATGGCACATCTTCTACCAGCTGGCTTTTGTATGGCACATCTTCTACCGGCTGGCTTTTGTATGGCACATCTTCTACCGGCTGGCTTTTGTATGGCACATCTTCTACCAGCTGGCTTTTGTATGATAAATCTTCTACCAGCTGGCTTTTGTATGGCACATCTTCTACCAGCTGGTTTTTGTATGGCACATCTTCTACCAGCTGGCTTTTGTATGGCACATCTTCTGCCAGCTGGCTTTTGTATGGCACCTTTCTACCAGCCTTTTGTATGGCACATCTTCTACCAGCTTGCTTTTGTATGGCACATCTTCTACCAGCTGGCTTTTGTATGATAAATCTTCTACCAGCTGGTTTTTGTATGGCACATCTTCTACCAGCTGGCTTTTGTATGGCACATCTTCTACCGGCTGGCTTTTGTATGGCACATCTTCTACCGGCTGGCTTTTGTATGGCACATCTTCTACCAGCTGGCTTTTGTATGATAAATCTTCTACCAGCTGGCTTTTATATAGTAAATCTTCTATCAGCTGAATATTTCACCGTAAATCTTCTAATCTTCTACCATCTGGCTATTGTATGGTAAATGTTTATTTCTAGAGACAATTAAAATGATAAAGTGTAGGACAATCACTGTGATTACGAATCTTTATATTTTGTAAAAGTTTTGCCTTCAAAATTGTCCAGGTGTTGATGTCATAATTTTGCTCAAATGTTTTGTTCTCTTTTAAACTTATTCAAAATTGTCAAATTTATAATTTCAGCACAGCAAGTTTCCGAGTCCGTGTAAAACCAGACAATAGTGAATGGATGGAAAAAACATTACTGAAGAATCTTACGATCTGTTTCCCAGAAGTATGTTTAAACCAAAGCAGTGATTGCATACTCTGTTTGAATTAAGAACAATATATTAAGAATTCAAGAGTACTGTATTTGTGGGATCGACTTTATTCAATCTTAGGAAATCCACAAAACATATTTCATAAAACTTAGCACTAACATGTGTGATAATACAGTGTCAGGAGTGATAGTACCATCAGCAGCTGTCCACCAAAATGTGTAAGCATGATGATTTGGATTTCAAAAAATATTCAAAAATTTGTTCCCAATATCACAATTTTTGCGCAAGGTATCAATAGCTAATAAATAAACTCACAACACAGGTAACAGGTCGCTTTCAGGAGAACCAGGTTTGACTCTTTTAAGAAATAATTTATTTCCTTATGGTTTATCAAGTTGAACACAATGGCTCGTTGGTATGTCTGGCAATTTAATTGTTTTTCCTGTTCTCATTTCGCAACGTAATCTGCACATCAGGAACATCTGGTCTTATTATCCTTGTATTTATTTCAGAGGTCTCCATGTAAATCAAAATTTCTTTTGTTCTTCATCTGAATCTGAGTTTGAAGGACGGTTATGTTCCCTTGTCAGTATTTTTGTGCTTGTTGTCATATTGTTGGTAAGAATTGTACTACTTTTGATATGGATACTCTGAGTCTATGATTTTGATACGCTGCAGGAGGCAGGCGTATATTGGTGTCATCTTCTCCGTCTGTATGTCTGTACGTCCCTCCGTACGTCTATTTCTTGTGAGTGCAACTCTTCCTAAACTAATCATCAGATTTTCATGAAACTTGCTCAATGTCACTACTACAATGGGTAGATGTGCATGAATAATCAAAAGGACCAATCTTGATCTTTATATTTTGTGGTGGTGTATATTGTGTCCACGACACTCTTGTAACAATATATTCTTGTTTTTTTTTTACAGCAAAGAAATTTATATAACAAGATATTTGGTGGCTATTTGATGAGAAAGGCATTTGAGCTGGCCTGGACAAATGCTGCTATGTATTGGTAGGTCCACTATCTATTTCACATTCTCAGTGCTAGAGCAGTCATAATCAAACTCTTTACTTTGATAAACTTGAGACACTCTACCATTTACACCACACATGTTTTATACAGATAAATAGACTATTTTAATGATTTTAACATCACCTCTTAAGTTGTGTTCATTGCGACTAGGTTCACGTTCTTGTAACCAGGTTTAAACAGTCTGGTAGCTTTGAGTTATTCCACATTAAATGAATTTAAGGAACCTGAACCATATTATAACATTTCTGGAAATATTTGATTGCACAGAACTTTTGTTTTTCATATATTTTGAAAACAAGGGATATTCAGTGAGTTAAATATAAACTTTATTTATTTTACAACAATTGCAAAACAAGTTATTTCAACTTGTACTAATCACTCTTGTTGGCCTGGATGTAAGCGTATGAGGGATGTTATTTTGGGAGAAACCAGGGTACCCGGGGAAAACCCACTTGGTCCGGCAGGTGACCACTTACCTTTTCACGTCCGTGTCGGGAATTGAACCCTGGTTGGCCCGGTGAAAGGCGAGTGTATTACCACTGTGCCATCTGACAATCCAGCCTCAGTCTGATCAGTACCTGGTGTTTTTCATGAAGTTTCATGAAACAGCAAAACTGTTTCATCCTTTCTTGTGAAAGTGACTATGTATATCCCTCTAAAATCAGCATTGTTTATATCACTTAGCATTGACAAGTTAAAACAAGGTGAAGTGGTTAAAATTTCTGATTAAATGCTCTTAAATATTTCTGAGGTGATAATTATTATCATTAACAGTACTGCAGGGATTTATAGAAATGTATTTTGTCAGTATCATTCAACTCCTGTACACAAAGTCATGGACCATCAAATAAAGATAAATTCAATGACCCTACTATTATTTTGGGGTGTATTAAGTGTATGCATTTCACATCCAAACACGATCTTTTCTCTCTCAACTGGCAACTTCATTTCTGAAGGAATTTTAAGCAAGCTTTATACTAATGGTCAGCACTGACGTAACATTTCATTTGTGAAGTTCAGAGTTCATGGTCACTTGAGTGACTTTATTTCTCAAGAGATTTTGATTACAGCTTTTCACAAAGGTCATTACATTTGATGAGATTTAATATATAAGTTTGTAAGTGTCCTCCACGAAAGTTAAGGACACTGTTACTATTTATAGAAAATCATCAACCGTTTCAGAAACATCACTGTCTTAAACTTATTGATAAATTTTGTAAAAGTCAAAGCTCAAAGTAGATTATGAGAATACCTCCCATGAATTTGTGTTTCAAGGTCACTGTTACTATTTCTGGAACTCTGCCAAACAATGATATGTATATGGGTGGGTAATGAGTCTTTTTGTCTGGTAAGAAATCTCTTTTCATGTTTATTTTGATTCTACAATACTGCTAGCCCCATATCCATATATCTAATTACTCACTAGTTACAGAATATACTTCTTAAGGCATAGGCATACCATATGATAAGACATGTAGGCTTCTTAACTAGCTTTTTGTTTCACCAACTTCTGGTACCTCGTAAATGTTCCATTTCAATCAGTGTCCTCCGTAATGGGACAATTTATTTAGAAACATTCTCCAACTTTTAGAATTTATCTAATATCTACATTGTCAGACATATTTGTTTTATTTTTTCAGTAAAACTCGACCCTATGTAAAGGCAGTTGATGATATTTTGTTTATGAAACCTGTAGAAGTTGGATCTGTTTTGTTTTTATCTTCACAGGTGAGTAGTCAGGTTACACAGAGAAACTATAGATTATAGAATAAGTAGAAGTCGAGAAAAACTTTATATTGCAACAAGGTTGTACGATTAACTTATGTTTATTAACATAGACTGTCATAGATTGTAGTATTAATTGATTTGTAACAGTTATGTACAAACACCAGGTGTAAACATTTGTAGTCCTTATGATAAAATAATCATGGTAACTTTTTAGCCCACCATCATCAGAATGATTCAAATTGCCCTGTGTCCGTGGTCCGTCCGTCCATCCGTAAACAATTCTTGTTACCGCTATTTCTGGAAAAGTACTGGATGGATCTTTCTCAGATTCCAAATACAGGTTCCCCTTGTTTAAGGTAACATTTCTTACAGGTTGTATATACTTATGGGTCCCAGCTACAAATGAAGGTTCACGCTGAAGTGGTAAATGTTGTGGACTGTACCCGAGCCACTACGAACAACTTCTACTTCACTTTCGACACACGCAAGGACCAGGATGTTCCCAGGGTTTTGCCTAAGAGTTACGCAGGTATATCATTGTCCATCTTCGCAATAAATTTGCCTGGTTTTGCCCAAATACTTGGCAAAGTAGATGTTATTTTTCATGCAAGTATTTGTCATGTTTTATGGGAATTGGACAAAGCCTATAGCTATACAAGTTCTCACCATGATATAACTTTAATGCATTATCTGTCTGCGATACAGAGTTTAAATGTAAACAAAATGAATTTGACTTACATTACAGTAGTATAATGATAATTAAGGCCAGTAATTATCATGGATTGGTAATTTGTACAACACAATGTTGATAATACAAAAATAGACAGTTATACAGACTGGTGTTCACATCCAGTGTTAATTTGAACTGTGATCTTTATCAGGAAAAAAAAAAAAAGAGATTTTCATTCATTAATTAATGTGAATATTAACAGGTGATCTTTTATGTTGCAGAATCCATGCTTTACCTGGATGGAAAGAGACATTTTCAAAGCTGATGATGTGATGACTGTAGTTATAAAATTGTGATATATTATAAGTTATATTAGAGGTCTAGATCAGTAAGCATTTCCATCCAAACAAAAAGATTAGCATATCGGTAGATTGTCTCATCTCACGAGATAATTGAGAACAGAGCTAATCCAGAACACGGAAGCCATTAAACTCTTATTGTGTATTTATATTTCATTCTTTAAATAGTGAGTATCTAAGAGATATATTTAGTAAAACATCTATTCTACCACAGGAATCTCAAGTTCTGTTTACGGGTGCCACCCATAGATTTTAATTAATGATATGCATATAAGTAGTAGACTGGACACTAAGGTTGTTTGTTCAAATGGTAGAGGTAATCTGGAATTATACACTATACACGAACGCACATGTACTGGATGTTGGAACTTATAATATGTAAAGCTCAAAATGCACAACATCAGAATTTCTTGTCAAGCATAAAACAATTATCTAAAATTAAGATACCGTCCATTTAACCCATACCTGGAAATATATGCATGCACCGTCCCTGCATTATAGTGAAATTCTGAAAACTAATGATATTCATGAAGCTAGTTTCGGACATGTATGAGTGTTCCCCTCAAGCTGCATGTGCCAAATATTTCACAGTCCAGCCCTGTTCCATTCTGTGTTGGCGTTATTCTTGCAGGTTCAACTGGTCCAACCATTTCAGCCATTTATGTGAAAGCAACCCAAGTCATATGGATGGAAATTATATGTGTTTATTTTCTGGTCTTGGTGTCTAGCAGATGTTTTACTGGAATAGTTCCAAGTCTGAAATAAAGCTATCAGTATCTCGCCCCTATTACATCTCGGCAATTAGTTATACATTTATGAATAGATATACATGTATATGGTATTAATATCACCCTAATCAAATCTTTAAAAACCAACAATGCATTGAAATATTCTTTTGTTATATTTGTCTCTAATTAATGTCTTGCTTCAAAACATTTCATGTGAACAATTAACACATTCAGTTTTTTTTTTTTTTGAAAAGCTGAGAACAAAATGTGGATAGAATTTTGCAAATACCTCAAGTATATTGTTTTTCTTTGTGAATCATGTATGTATTGAGATCCCAACCATCCTTTTGCAAGACAAATCTTAAGTGTGATTGTGATGTTACATCATCATGGATTTCCTTCTCTTGTTATCCAATCATGTACCTGGTAAGGAATATTCCAGTAAAACATCTACTGGTACAGGGGATTCCAGTCATAGCAAACATTGACCAACGCTGGTAATTTTAGGAACAGTGTAATCTGTCAACATTACCATGTATAAACTTTACAACTCACCTTGGTGAGAGATATCTTGGGGTTTATCCAGTAAAACACTATAATTTAGTACCAGGACTCTCAAAATAAATCCTCATTATTCCATGGTTAATAACTTCTATCTGTGGTTAGATTTCCTACCTGTTACTTTTAAACAAATAATCATTTTTTTAAGTTTTAGGTTAGAACCACTAATACAACAAAGCCTGGTTTACGAGGATGGGATAGATGTTTTACTGGAATATAGATGTGATGTTTTTCATGTTATTTTGCAACAACCAAAAATATAACTGTAAATAAACTCAGGATGACCTACAAAGCAATTTATTTTCAAATTACAAGCATTTATTATTGACATGTAAACTTTAGTGACCTATAGAAACCTGTTTTTTATATTACTGTACGGTTATATATTTTTTGTACTAGGTCGCAGAAAACTGATGACTGCTTCAAAGTACTTATCTTTATCCTATTTATTATGTTTATCTCCTCCAATTTTTTTTAAATATTTGTAGTTTTAGAATTTTGGACATTATGGAATTTATTTCAATTTATTTATTTTTACAATAATGTCAGTATATCAAGGTATTATTTTTTGTCTCTATGCAGTTTTAGTATTTATTGTTACACCTTGCAGGTTTCTAGTATAGTTTCATTAACATATTTCTGTATGTTATCTTTTACCAATGACTGCATTCATTTAAGTATTAAAATTGACATTGATTATGAATAAAATTATCACCAATGTGAGAATGATGTCGTACTTTTATTTCTTCTATTGATATAGTAGTTGTAAATCAATTAAATCATGAATACGAAGATAGAGTCAACGCCGTTATTGTAAGAAGATTGTGGTCAAGCCCTTATATCCCTTGCCTGGACACCGAACAGTTTGCAGGTTGATTAGAGTTAAGGGACAAACTAAGAATTAGAAAGCAATCACATCAAGCCAGGCATAAGGTTTTTTATTTTTGTTTTTTGGTTTGTTGATTCTAATTTATACCCCAGTGTTTTGTAATACCAGTACAGTAGGACCAATTAGCTCGAATCTCAGACCACTGATGATCGACTTAGCACTTGAAGCCCAGAAGGAGGGTTTAGCTTCATCTGACAGTGATGAACATTCACAGAACAAAAAACACTGGGGTGGAAATCATAATACACCTCTACATTCTGCATGGATGAGAATGAATCTTTTTTAATCATAATGTAACGTGTACAATTGAAATAAGTATGATGTAGTATAATGATATTGTATTTATCAAGTAAATAACAGTTAAGGATACGATAAGATAGGGGAGCCATGTGACATTGTTGAACTCACCTGACATTATTGTATAACATCACTATCAAGCGTTAATAGGTGCATAGGTAAGTATAAGTAATTCATGTCTAAATTTCTCCTACGTTGTTGTCCTGATGATGCCCAAACGTTTGGGTGAAACTGGTCGATATACCAATAAATAAGAAAAACTATATCCTTGGCTTGTTGTGATTGATTTCTAATTCTCAATGAAATCATATACAGCTATCAAGTTTGTATATGTACATGAAATACACCGTTTAGTTGTGTCAAGGAAATTATATTATTAAAAAAAATCACAGATAATGATATGTCCTGTTTGTCCCCAATCGCTCATATAATCAAGAAAATATTTTTAGCCCACCATCATGAGATCCGTCTCTCTGTTAACAACTTTTGTTATCGCTATTTCTCAAATTGCAGGTATAGGTTTCCTTTTTTCCCTAATTGTGCCAAATTAATTTTGAGACTGATGAGACAAACGAAATCACTGACAGCCGACTATCTTAGATTTTTACTTTGCGAGATTTTTATCACTATTTCTTGAAAACTGCATAATAAATCTTTCCCAAATTTTATGTGTATGTTTCCCTTGATCCCTAGTTGTGCCTGTTATATTTTGGTACTGACCAGATTAGTTGAATTTGGGACTGATTTCTGCAAAGGAATGTTCAAATGTCTTATCATTAAGTACAAAAATTGAGAGGAGAGGAGAAGAGAAAAGAAGGGAAAAGATCCAATTTCAAAGAGCAAATTAAGATCAAACAATGTGGGTGCCAAGAACCCTCTGGGATCACTTGTTCTCCACTTGGGACCAAAGTTATGTGTTTTGTCTATTCATCCTTTTGCTACCTTCCTGGCTCTGTCAACTACACTACCTGTCACTCTATTTTTATACTTTGGATATTGGTTCACCTTGATGGTGTGGTGTGTCATGTATCAAAAGTAGATCAATCTGACCTACATTTTGACCTTTGACCAACATCAAAGAGAAAGGTTGTCTGTGCTCTTTATCTCACACTACTTTCACTGGAACTTAATACTTCGGTTATGAGTTCATTTGATATCTTCACAACTAAAATGAAAAAAACACAAGCTATGCAGAACAAAATCTTTTATTTTCTCTTGCTTTTAATAGCAAAACTTGAACAAATTATGACCTTATCTTTATCTTTACATTCTGTGATCAGCTAACTGCAACACTCTGTCAGTCTACAGTGTCACAAATACCTTAACTGCTGTGGTATTGTTGTAATATCACAGAACGCTTAATGGTGCAAGAATCTCGGACCTCAACCTAGGAATATATATAACAGTGTTCAAATTTAAGCTAGATTTGAAAAATTAAAAGTTCTAAACAGAAAAGCCTTGTCACTGGACACTCAAATTTAAACGTGCTGCACAACAGTGTAGCTCGCCAATTGATAGTGTGTAACATATAAATACAAGTTTAGCCCTTTCTGACCACATAAATATGAAAAATATGGTTAACATATTGCTAATAATTCATATCAATAGTTGAACTTTTCAATAATCAATTTGTGATCAAGAAATGCATTAAAGACCTGCTAAAGAATTTTAATGTAGGACTTGCTCCTGCAATTCACAAATAAAATTACCTCAGAATTATGGTTTCAACATATTGATAGTTATCCATATACATCCTTGAACAATTAAATATCTAACAGTCCTTTGATATTTGTGATCCAGTACTGCTTGATAATTTTTCCAAGGATAGTGCCAATGCCAGGGTGATTACATCCCCCTCATCACTGTTCAAATAGGCGAGCTGAAAAGGCACTGCTGACCAGAAATTCCTCATGAAATTTCTGTGACTGAATAATGTGAAATGTGGGCGTTAAACCATGACTTTGAAGTGAATTTTACAATACAAGTTTACATTGTAGTTACGTTATTCTATAATTGTGGACTTTGATATGTGTCTTGAGGGCTGGCATGGTAGAGAACTCTTTTCTACATACATGGCACCTATAAAACAAACACATAGAATTTAAAGCATACATAATGTATGAACACCATAAACATTCTTTAAAGTTTGTTGGTCAGTCCTAAATTGTCAAATTAAATTTAAATAAAATAACTGAAAGATATTTCATGGTTTCATTTGTGTATGGGAAATTACACAATGTACCAAAAATAGAAAAGGTACATATACTGATGACTTTACCTGAGATTCCTTTTGAGCATTTCTTGAAATTTTGAACTGTCAAGCTGAACCTTTCCTTCATCTTTCAACATATTTATTATATCTGAAACAATAAAACATTTCATTGATATTTTTTCACATTGGTATTTGACAGTTCAAGAAGTCACATATTTTACGTTACAATTTAAAAGTCACAATTGCACATTTTTCAATACAAGTATACATCATCACTGTCAGGCATTGGACAGTGTACATGTATGTTCATGCATTTGTAAGACATATTGACAATACATTTTCTAAAAAAAGTCTCAAAGTCTGTTATGATTTTGAGTCTTTGTGAGTATAATATCAATATATGACTGTCTATTTCTAACACACACTGTTGATTTTGAATTTCATCTAAAGTCACTTTTATATTGTTTTCAGTAAATGTATTTAAGATGTTTTTTAAGACAGCTCAAGTCTCATTACCTTTAGAATCAAAAAAATACTCTGTTGTGAAAGAATTCCAGTGCTTTTTATTTTTCAAACATGGACTATCAAAGTCCTGGCTGATGACATGTAAATGCAGATGGCTGCAAAATGAAAAAAAAAACAAAGAAGTACAAGTCACAACACAAATTTTCTAAATCAAATTACTCATCATCCTTAATTTTGAAAAATGAAATACAATTCAAAAATGTAAATACTAGAGAAATGGTCCATGGAAGGACTTTTTTCTGTTCCGATCAATTTTTTAAACAAAATGTCTAAAATTATAGAAATCTGAAACAATAAAAATAGTATATCAATATGATAGCATCAATCTAACCTCATACTTGGAATGGCATGGTAACCCAGTCTGAACTTTAAGGTTTCATCAGTTCTGAAAAAATAAATCACTTTCATTCAAATTTGTGTATATGTACCAGAAATAATCACTTTAATATGACTTTTTATAATTCTCATTTGAGTCATTATTGAACATTATGACAATATTTTTCATCTTGTATATCAATTTGTTTAAGCATATATATACATATCCCCATTACAATTGTACTACTAGTGTAGAATGTCTTTCTTTGTCTGAACATGCCTCTGGGGAATGAATCAACAAGCCAATTATTTATATGTATTTAGGAGTGAAGATCAGGTGATTTTACAAATTCTTCATCACAAAACAGATAGCCAAGTTTTTTATTTGAGGAACAAATCAGGTATGCAATTCTTTACCAGGAAAAACAATTGTTTATCTGAGAGAACAAAGTAGAAATAGCCACAAGCTTTATCAGGGTAATCAAACCAAAGTTTGCTGGTTCTTTACCCAATTCACACAACCTAGATGAATCTTCTATTGGGGAAATAAGCATTATCTGATTCTTTGGAGCATATGCTGTATGCAAAACAATAAGTGTACCTAAATATACTTTAACAGACTGACTATTGTATTCCAAAGAAATATTATTTATCTCGATCTATAAAAACAAGCTCATTACCTTGATTAAGGCTTGGTGAAAATATATCAAGAAGAGATAATACAATTTTGAATATCAAACAAGCTGATGTTGAACAGAAACTTAATCTGTATTTTGCAGTATTGGAAAGCTATAATCTAACTTTCAGCCTAGTTTCTTTAGGCTAAAGGGAAAACCTGAAACATGGGTGGACGCTGACAGATAAAACAGAAGGGAGGAAGATGAGGAAACATGTCTTTCCTTTTCACTGAGACATCAATCAGTGTTTGAAAAGACAATTACAGTATCTGATCACATAAAAACTGCAGTGTGTGAGTGGAAAGTCTATATACATAGATGTCTTACCTGTGAATGATTTCTTTGCCCTTTTTGTGCAGATATTTTAAAAGATCAAGATGACTAGGTTTCAGGCTCTTTAGATTAGGAATGTTTTCTTTGGGCAATACAAGGAAATGGTGCTTTGCCTGCATAAAAATATGCTGGTATATATTAAAAAAGACTAGTTTCTTCATTTTTGAAAATATTTCCTATTTCACTTGTTTTTATTATAATCTTGGTTGGTCAACAACACAAATATTGCCAAATCAAAGTGGTGCTCAGGACAAAAGCATAATTTTATATCATAATCATAAACCCTGACAAATCTGAAATGGAAAATTGGAACTCTCAAGGTAAATAATAATGTTAAAACACAAAATGTTCCGATGGTGATTAAGTATACTAACTTTGAAAAATCATCAGAAGAAATCAATATCCAGCCTACCCCTTTCCTTTGCTGGATATTTAAGCAGGCGTATCATCGTACCAGAGCACAGACAGAGTGAATCAATCACTCATGTTTTTTTTTTCCCATGATACATAAATATTTGCATAATGGTAAATGAATTAAACTTATGACAGAATTGCAACATCAATGTAAACTAAGTCTCTTTATTTCTTTCCAAATCTAAGCAGAACTCTGCTTGAAATGTAAATTATTCAAATTTTTTTCCTATCAGAACTAAAATGTTGCAGCTAGAAGGAGACCAACTTGACTAATAAAACTTTGATGCACAGACCAAATATAAAGTACATATATACCATAATACTCTGGTCAATATATATGACAGACACATAAAAAATAACAAAAATGTTGATAGTTTATCTATAGAAACAGGCCCATAAAATCATTCAGTTTACTGAAATCTATCTGTTGCAAAATAAACATCAGGCAATGTACCAAGCAAATTACCATCAAGTTAAGATTACTAATTAAAAAATAATAAAATTCCTACAGCTGTACTATATACCGTGTACAGATATGTATGTAACATATAGAATTCCAGTATTAAGTTTTAAGAGTATTACATTAAGAAAATACAACTTAAACTGAAGCTTGTATTCTATAAAATCATGTTTATCACTGAAAGATGTAGCCACTTGAAATTAAAGAGAAACTTGAATTCTACAGAAACATGATTATTTAAACAGTTGAAAAGATACAAGACACCATGACAATAGGCGGGCACATATTTTCATTTCAATTATTTACTTTTGACATTATATGTACATTATATGATATTAAGCGAAAATTGCGATTTTGATAATGCTGACTTCAGCACTCCTAGTCATGGTCAACGGTCTCTTTTTGAGCTTAACCAAATCGCAAACTTACCTTTGGATATTTGTCTTTAATGATAACGACTCTCTCATCTACATATTCCTGCAATTCTGGGTCATCCATTGATGCAAGTAAACCTTTATTCCAGGCGAAGGCAGGCTTCTTGTTAGAACTAGATCCTTCCACAGAACTCTCATTTTTGCGTTTAGAACCACACGGACCGGAGGCAGCCATATTTATTAATTTGTCATAACGAAAATGTAAGCTCCTACTTCATTGGTACTTTTGTACATATTGACCAATCGAAATACGTCTTGCATAAAAAGGAAGAACATTGCAGCTGATCGATGTAAACTTCCGGTGCAGTCTATTTAAAGCTGAGAGTGGTGGATTTAACATCTTAATAGACTTGTGTGATTCTGCATAGGTAGGTCTTCTAATTTTGGCTCTGACTGAAATAAGTAAGCTCTAGTAAACTTATTGATATGACATTTCAAACGTTGCATAATTCAGTTATTGTGTTTTCATTCTTGTAATGTACAATCTGATTAAAATACAGATTGATAAATATTCCATTTGTATTCCATAATTGTAAATTCATTTTGATATTTGTGTTCTTTCTTTCAGCATTCCTATTTTATCTGTGTTATTTGTATTTTATTATTTATATTCTTTTGTCATATGTAAGTTCCATCGTTGATTTATTTGTATTGAACTGCTTTGGAAAACAAATAAGATTGATATACAAACACAATTTATAATTATATACAAATTTACAATTATGGAAAATATAGAGTATAGTTGAATATGGTCTCTGTCACTCAGACGGAGCATGCTTCTTTGGCTAAGTTTGTAGAGCTGATCAATTATGCTGGAGACCCAGGTCTGATTCCTGGTCAGGGCACCTGCCAGGATGTTTTTTTCCCCCTGATCTTTCACATATACATGTATACCATAGATTCAGAACCAATAGACTCAATATTATAATGTAAAACAGCTCTAGTAAATTCCATATTCATACATAGGCCTAGCAATAAGTGATTGGATTATAAGTATTGTGATACTACTATTTTAATTATGATGTTCAATTGTAATATTATAATATGTGATATTACTTCTTTATTTGATTTTGTTCTTATAATTATCTCATATGTACAATTTGTACTGTTGCTACATGTGCAAGTGTTAGTTCTTATCAGTTATTAAGTATGATGGTCAAGGGAAGAACAATTGTAGCTTATCCATAGTGGTTTGTACTGCAAATTTCAAAAACTACTTGATTAATGAAGTGGTAAATCATAGTAATTAATGCACTTTAATTGAAAAAACTGAGAAATCACTTAGAAATATTCTTACTAGTCGAGGTACACTGTATGGGCTAATAAATTTGCAGGTTAAAAAAAATAGCTTTTATAAGAAACAGGTCACATTCAGTTACATGAATTTATCCTGGACTTCAGTGGAATCAAAGTGACTGACCCAATTAATGTCTGATGATTTTTCTGATATTGTCTAGCCATAAGCAGGTACTTTTATTTATTCTTGATGGCAGCATCGATAAATATAATGGCTGCAACTGTTGTATTGCTTTTGGTGTCAATGTCAAGATTCTTGAAAGATTTGCAAAACCAGCTTGCAATTGTGTTACTTTCACATGCATCAACGTTTCCCTTTAAAAACTTGTTCAAGTTCATTCCTATTAAGTCATCATGGTAGGTAGGATATACTGTCTGATTCCTATACCACCTCTGTTAAAGTGGGGGAATATTTTTTTATCAATATTAGAGGGAAGGGATAGTAAACCAGAAATCTTTGGTTCAATCCCTAGCAAAGGCTTTAGCATAGATTAACCGTCAAAAATAGATATGAATGTTTCATTCCAAAATCTACACTTAAGCTCTACATGTAATTAAAAGTACTTTTGACTTTTAACTGTTACAAATTCAGCCAATGATTACTACACTGAATGTTTTTCATTTTGATTACTTATTGCTTTTTAAGGATGAGGAATAATTTGGAACAGCCAGCTTAAGGTGTTACAACCAGTAGGGTAGATGTAATGGATGCCAACAAATGGCCCATCTTTAGTATTCTGAACACAGCCGATCTATTGAAGGTGAAAAAACTCTGTGTATTTGGAAGTTCTGGCAATGAAGCTATTTACATCACAGACGATGATGAAGTGTTTGCACTTGGAGCTAATTGCAGTGCCTGCCTAGGACTAGGTATACTACTTAAACATATCATTGATAATTGTATATATGTAGATATGTGTTTGTACATAAGTATCAAGATGCATGTTTTGACTTCCTTTTAGATGAACCGAAGTTTGTCATTTTATCTGTCTATATCTTGTGTAAATAAGTATAATTGTGTAAGTTAAGATGAGTTCTTTTGCCATTCATCAGATATCTAATATGTCCTTGTGACATGCAAGCATCAATTTACCATGTCTAGTTGAAGACTGATCATAATGTTTAGTAAATAAGTAAAAGGTTCACATGAATATTGACATGTAAACATTTCTAATATTTCTAATTTGTTTTTCTAACATGTTAAAAACTATTTAGGTTTTGGTTTTGTTGTGACAGCTAGTTAGTGTTGAATAACATTTCAATTATGAATAAACCTTGTACATATTTAGTATGACTGAAATTATTGTAATGTATTTTATAACTGATTTTCAAACCCAATTGTAAAAGGTGATGCTGGCAGCAGTTTTGAGCCAAAGAAAATAGAAGTTTTATGTAAGAAGAAAGTAATTGATATAGCCTTTGGAAGTGGACCCCATGTTCTAGCTGTTACAGCTGGTAAGGATTATGAAATATCAAAATTTAAACCAATATCCATTCTCATATACTAAAATATATGAGGAATTAATTATGTGTGTTCAATCATTTTTGTATAATATTTTCAGTAAAAGAAAGGAACTTGCTTGCAAACATTTTAGGTAGAATGTGGACAATATACATAATTATGTAGTATTAGAACAGGTCAGCAGATCGTGAAAAAATCTTAAACTTAAGTTTTTGTTTAAGTAATAATATCCCTCTCATTTTATTTTAAGGATAGGGCACATACATGTAAAGTGTTACTCTGGCCAATCACTCCTTATGTTCTGTTGATCTCATCCCATCACATTCAGAATCAATGTCATATCTTGAGAGTCCCTCTCAAGTTTTGGTTTATGTATACCCTATATTATCATAATATCTACTTTTACACCAGATCAGAATCTGGTTTGGAGGACCAAGGACTTTCATATCTTATAATGTATAAATGAAGCATTGTGTGGTTTTAATTGAACAGCACAGGAATGTAAACAGCAGTGAAACTTCAGTTTTGGTCCTCACCATTGAATACCCAAATATTATCCCAGAAAATTCATATCTTTGATGAACTCACTTTTGTAATTGTGTAAATCTTGTAAATTTGTGAAGTATAAGTGACACAATATTTAGGAACATTTTCTTCAGGTTTATAATGTCACAAGACTAGAGGTTCTAATAACACAATCCAATAGAAGATTAAAGTGCAGATTTAAATTTCTACTTGTGTTGTTATAAGGGCTTTTATTCTATATCAGACACAAAATTTCTCTAACCTCAAAGTTTGTGTTATCACAAAGATTTGCATTCTCAGAAATACTTATATTTCCAGAGTTCATTTGTAAAACTGAATTTGTGAGTTATGTTTTTAAAAGTGAACTATTTGTTATATTTTGTAAAACTCATTTAAAGCTAGGAATTACAACAGAATGTGTTTGTGAACCTAAAAATAGACATTGATTTATAACTGGTGGTATCCTGTTATAGGTGGTGAAGTCTACAGCTGGGGCCACAATGGTTACTGTCAGTTGGGGAATGGAGGTTCAATGCAGGGACTTATTCCCTTCCTTGTCAGTACTAACCTTCAGGGCAAGAAGGTCACCAAGGTCGCATGCGGAAGTCATCATTCTGTCGCCCTTACTCTGGAAGGGGAGGTAATTACAGCTTTAACATATAGACATGAAAAATGTTGTCACAACTTATTGAAATTTGAGAAATAAGCCAGATTCCTAACTAAGGAAGGAATAATGCAGATGTTTTCGTCATATCATATAAACATTTCTTGATTTACATTATGAATATTTGATATTTATTATTTCTTCTCAGTTTGAATCTATTCCAAAATCGATTCTATTTCCCAAACTGAAACAAGGTGCTCTGCCATAAAACCTGTATGAATATCACTGTGTGAAATATACAGACTTCTGTCTCTTCAAGAAAATTCTACGATGCATATAGTAAAATGAGGTATGCTGAGGTTGGTTTTGTATCCACTACATGTAATGTGTTATATTCTTTGTTTACCTTTTCTAGGTTAAAGGAATTTTTGAATTAAGTATTTATTTATAGATAAATGAATAAGCTAAGTACTGTACATAAAGTTAGGTTGACTTCTATTTTTCAGATTTATGCGTGGGGACAGAACAACTGTGGTCAGGTAGGGTCAGGCACAACTACCAACCAGCCAACACCTAGGAAGGTCATGGCAGTGATAGGTATGTACAACTTGTTAAGGAGGTTATTTTCTGGTTGTAAATATGATTATTACCTGATATAATGGAAATGCAGGTTTTGATACAATTTCTTTATTTGTACAAAAACTTGTTCAGATCTGTCAATCACAACTTTATATTTAATACTTTGTTATTGATTTGGTACCATAATGAACATTACTTGTGTATCATTGTGTGAAATGTTTCTGCTGTAAGAATATAGTGGTGTATCATTGTGAAATGTTTCTGCTGTAAGAATATAGTGGTGTATCATTGTGTGAAATGTTTCTGCTGTAAGAACATAGTGGTGTATCATTGTGTGAAATGTTTCTGCTGTAAGAATATAGTGGTGTATCACTGTGTGAAATGTTTCTGCTGTAAGAATATAGTGGTGTATCATTGTGAAATGTTTCTGCTGTAAGAACATAGTGGTGTACCATTGTGTGAAATGTTTCTGCTGTAAGAACATAGTGGTGTATCATTGTGTGAAATGTTTCTGCTGTAAGAATATAGTGGTGTATCATTGTGTGAAATGTTTCTGCTGTAAGAATATAGTGGTGTATCATTGTGAGATGTTTCTGCTGTAAGAACATAGTGGTGTATCATTGTGTGAAATGTTTCTGCTGTAAGAACATAGTGGTGTATCATTGTGTGAAATGTTTCTGCTGTAAGAATATAGTGGTGTATCATTGTGTGAAATGTTTCTGCTGTAAACCTAACCCTAACTATGCGTGATTGCTAACAGGAACAAAGACTGTGATATCTATCGCCTGTGGTCAAACATCTACAATGGCTCTAATGGATAGTGGGGAGGTAAGTCTGTCAAATCTTTCACACTGGCAAGGTGTCTATGCCTCATTTTAACACTCACCTTTTCAATAAAGTCTTCCCTTGTAATAACACCTTGTCAAAAATTCTTCTCTCTAAATGTCTTCAAAAATAAATGCTGATCATGTGATACAAGTAAAATTATTTGATTTTGGAGATGGCTTAATATAATATTGATAATCTTGTTGCCGGATCCATTTTCAATTTTATAATTTGTGTATGTATATGTTGTAAATGAAAATCTGAAAATAAAATATTGTTTAAACAAAATGATTTGATTCTTGGTCATGTACCGTTTGTGAAGCTGGTCACGGGTTTTTCATTTTAGCTCCTGAGGCTAAGACTGATTTCATAAATTGCATATGAAGTGGAACATTATGCATGATCCTCTATCTTATACAGTTGGAAATTGAATATTTATCTGTCCAGTTACAATATAATATCATTTGATTTCAAATGATGAAATGAATACCATTAACAGAAATAAATATGTACCTGTGATAACGAACTTGCTATCGGGCAACTGCAAGTTGTGTCTAAGTTTATTATGAATATGAAGTAAATCTTTATTTCAGGTGTTTGGCTGGGGATATAACGGAAATGGTCAACTTGGTCTAGGAAACAATGTCAACCAACCTAATCCTTGTAAGGTACAAGGGTTACAGAACGTCATTATATCTCAGGTGTGTTAACATCTCATACAGGTAAGGTACACAGCATGATCATCTCACAGGTGTGTTAACATCTCATACACAGGTACACAGCATGATCATCTCACAGGTGTGTTAACATCTCATACAGGTAAGGTACACAGCATGATCATCTCACAGGTGTGCTAACATTTCATTTACGGGTACACAGCAGGATAATCTCACAGGTGTGTTAACATCTCATACAGGTAAGGTACACAGCATGATCATCTCACAGGTGTGTTAAGATCTCATACAGGTAAGGTACACAGCATGATCATTTCACAAGTGTGTTAACATTTCATGAGGTAATATATAATTAGCCCTTTGTATCTCAGAGGTGAGTTACCATGTCCTTCAATGTATTGGTAAAGCATTGCCTTTATAGTCTTACTTCTACATTTAAATTTGTTATCATTTTATACATAGTAATATATTTCAGGTATTCACCTCGAAGGTGTGTTAACATTTCATACAGGGCATAATTATCTCACAGACGCAAAACATTCAAATAAGTCATTTCTGAATCACAGTGGAATTAGTATTGTAATATTAAGAAAAGTTTTCAATGAAATGTGGGTTTATTTTCAGGTGGTTTGTGGGTATGCCCACACCCTAGCTTTGTCTGATGAGGGTGCCCTCTACACATGGGGAGCAAACTCTTATGGACAACTTGGAACTGGGAACAAAGCCAACCAGGTGGCACCTACCAAGGTGGAAACCAATGGGGAAAGGTGGGTAATGTTTAAAATGATCTACATACATTTATGATAACATTGTATATGTACTATGCAGTTTAACTGTCCATTCTAGATAAACTTACGTATGTATGTGTGTATGTGCGTGCGTGCGTGCGTATGTATGTATGTTTCTATGTATGTAAGTATGTATGTGTGTGTGTGTGTGACTGTGTGTGTGTGTGTGTGTGTGCGCGTGCGTGCGTGCATGCGTTTAAATACTTATAAATTAGTTTTAAAATGTAAATCACAGGCTATTTATCATTCATAAAACACTTAAATGATGATATCTAAGGAATTCATGATTACTTTTACAATAATGTTTTTTTGTGGAGATCAATTTTCATGGCTTCTGAAGGAATTTGTGTACTTACGATTTTATTGATAGAAGTACTCACTAAATTCACTGGTACTAAAACTTTGATATCTAAATCAGTGTGTGAACTTGAATATTTGGATTAATCATACCAAAAAAAATCAAGGAAAATAAAATACCTACAAAAATGAACGATTTTACAGTATTTAAAAAAGGATAGAGGATAGGTTTCAGTACATGTAGTATGGAGTTGTATGATTTTATATTTCAAAAATTCATTTGCATAGTTATGAGTTATCTACCCTGTTTTAGGATGGTTGAGGTTGCAGCAAGCCACTATGCTCATGTATCAGCATCACTGACAGAGACAGGGAACATATATATGTGGGGACAGTGTCGAGGTCAGTCCATTACATCAGCTATTATCACAAGGTTCCACTGTACTGACGATGTTCTGGCTGCATTTGCTTCCCCTCCCGTCACATGGCGAATGTACTCAGTAGGTAGGTTATCTCAGCTGCCCCTGTCGGTCTCGTCAGGGCTATTCCAGTAAAATATCTACCTCTCCTGGGGACTTGAGTGTTCGTTTAAGATATAGAATCTAATTAATACATTATATCAAGGAAAATGAAGGAAACAGAACCATAGATAGAAATGGCTTATTTTGGAGTTTTGGGGCCAGAAGAGATTTTACTGGAATTCCTGATATTTAACCCAAGAAAAGGATTCGTTAAATTGTTACAAATTAATATAAATAAACAAAGTTTATTTTTTGTTGAAAATATTGATTATCTGTTTGGTGAATAATGAATGTGATCATCTCTTTATGGAAAGAGAGAAATGTATTCCCTGGTGCAATCTTACCAAGGGTTCTTCAATCCTAGCAAACCATACCACTGAACAGTAGCTGAGTGATGACTACAGAAAATTATATAACTGTACTGAGGTGCTGTTTTACTGAGAGCTCTAGCAACCCACCTTATAGTATTTGATTCTTGACTACAGAAAATTTTGTACATGTAGCTAGGTGCTGCTTTACTGAGGAACTTTCATATATAGGAAACCACCGAACAGTAATTGATTTTTGACTACAAAAAATTCATACATGTAGCAAGGAGCTGTTTTAATGTGGACTCTTCAATCATAGCAACCATAGTCACAGTAGCTGATTAATGACTACAGAAAATTGTCAGTTCGATTACATTGGATGTGACTGTTGTAACCTGGTGACTAGCAAACAGTTGATCAATATGTATTACTATACTATCGATACATTAGATTGATTATCTGTGATTAGTCGGTTATTTTATGAGTGTTTGAAATTGCTTAATTCTTTACTTGTAAATTGCAGATCAAATGCGTGGAAGTAAGATTGCAGAAAACGTTTCTAAGAGTTTCGATGATCCGGTGAGTGTGAACCCTTAAAAATACCAAAAAAAAAAAAAAAATGTTATAGGTTTTTCGGAATAGTGCCGGACAGATCATGATATTGGGAATGTTTGAATAAATTGTGTGAAGATTGTATGAAATTGAAAATAACATTTGACAACGAATTAGAAAACAACACACTTTGGTGACAAAATCTTACTCAGAGATACAAGAGTTATTCAAGATATGCTTTGAATCTGAGTTAGATGGTATCAACACTGTTATTTGATGTAGTATATTTTTATCGACAGACAACAGCTGACATGAAGTTTATTGTGGAAGGGAAGACAATTCATGTCCATAAAGCTTTACTGAAAATAAGGTAAATGCTTCAGAATTTTTCACAGATAAAGTACTGCTTGTTTTGAGCAAGAACAATCTTGACTATTCTCTAGAAAACCTCCTGTTTTATAAGAGAATGCCATTCTCATCCCTACTCTGGATTATCTTTTACTTCAATTTCAGGAAAATGTTTCTCTAGGAAATTGTACAGATAAATGTTCTTAAATTGTATTGTGTATATTGTGGAATAAGGCTGATGATTTGTTTCTAGTTTCTAGTAATTTTAATTAAAGCTAGTATTTATTTCATTTTAGTATTTCTAATTCATTGAGGGTAGATTTAAGATTGAACTTAAAAGTATTATCAATCAGTTTGCATTGTTTTATCTTTGGTTATATTCACAAGTTAAAGAACTTATTTCAAAATTTCATATAACAGGTGTGAACATTTTAAAACCATGTTCCAGTCTTGCTGGGAGGAGGATGAAAAAGAGTAAGTAATTGGATTCTGGATTATCTGATTAAAAATGAGTGAATATATCTTACTTCACTAAAAGTGTCACTAAGTGAGTGTATTATCAGATGATTGGCATATATAAATATTTAGATGATCACACAAGGAGTATCATTTCAAAGTTATTGTCTACAGTATGGAAAAAATGAAAAAAGGCAGATATGTATAAAAGTTACCGTTCAGAGAAAAAGAGAAAAGATATATAAATAAATCTTATAGATGATTACATTGTGATTGAGTGTAAAAGAGCTTATACTCTATAAATATACACCCCATCCCCCCCCCATCCACTTCCCACACACCCTTCCCCCTCCCACCCTCCAACTTGTCACGACTCTTGCACACATTATTATGAAAAGTCTCAGCAGTTTTACTATGATTACCTGATGAGGATTAATAATAACTGGTCACTTTTTGACAGTACCATTGAGATCAGCCAGTTTAACTACACAGTTTACCGAGCATTCCTCAGATACCTATATACAGATGTGGTGGACCTCAAACCAGAAGAAGCCATAGGTAAGGAAAAAGAAATATCTACAGGATAGTATAACTAGCTAGCTCCACGCTAAATTGAACCAAAAAACCGATTCTCTGGCACATCACACATGGTGTTAATAATTTTTGGATGATTAGAAATTTTACTAAAATAACAAAAATCTATTATGCAATTCTACATGAAGTCAATTATTATTGATTTCAGGCCAGTGATATGGTCATTGTTGTTTAGTTATGTCTTGTCTATCAAAGTTGCTACAGAGTTGACCATGTTTACAAATCAAGCTATTGGTCTCAACAGGTCTCCTGGACCTTTCGAACTCCTACTGTGAATGTTTGCTGAAGAAACACTGTGAGAAAATCATAAAGAAAGGAATCACTGTGGAAAATGTTGCCATGTTGTATGCAGCCGCAATCAAGTTTGAGGCAAAGGTAACACTACCATTATGTAATATTTTTTTGTTTTTGTGGGCGTATACTCTATTTTCTTTTTTTATTAAGGTTTGAAGAATTTTAGTTCATTTTCTTGTCAATAACCAAATAGCCATGAATCAAATATTAAATTTTTTGCAATTTGTGAACAACGCATTGATTTGTGTTCTGAATTTAATTTTACAATGTTTCCTGACTTTTGAGAGCAATATTAGTTATTTTAAGTTATATAGATGAAATAGTGTCATAAACTTATCCTCATTACTAGTCTACATGATCCTGTAATCTTTCATTGTAACCAGGAGCTGGAAGATTTCTGTTTCCGTTTTGCCCTGAATCACATGACAGGCGTGACACAAACAGAGGCTTTTGGTCAGTTAGATGAAGCCGTCGTCAAAGGATTTATACGCAAAGCTGCGTCTTGTGGGGCCTTCAAATACTGAAGTTCCTGAAGCACCAACATACTTAAGATGTACTTATAGACACACCAGTCAGGATATCTTTGTGTTTGATTTAAATTTATTATTGTAAGCTTTTTAATATCACTGTCGTGTTGGTGTTCAAAGCAGTAAGGCCTTTCATGTTTTATAATTCAGGATACATGTTGTGTATGAAGGTGTTCCTCGCACTAATTCTCATAGGGTGAAAATTATATTATTTTTCATAGTGAAACTGTCAAGTATATTTTCATATCTCTGTCATGAGATATTTCAACAAAGATATAGTACTTTTGCAAGTTTAAGCAAATAATTCGGTAGAAGCTTTTATTTCAGTTAGTCAGTTTGGGATCGCAAATAATTCGGTAGAAGCTTTTATTTCAGTTAGTCAGTTTGGGATCGCAAATAATTCGGTAGAAACTTTTATTTCAGTTAGTCAGTTTGGGATCGCCAAATAATTCGGTAGAAATAGAAAAATTTATTTCAATTAGTCAGTCTGGAATGTGATTCCATCAGTATTTGTTACTTTTCGATTTGATTTTTCAAGCATTAGTTATATTTTAAACACTTTTTTTAACAAAACCAGTGGATAGCATTGGCTGATAGATTATTGAAAAAGTCTTAGTATTTTTTCCGTTTTAAACTTAATCAGTCCATTTCCAGATTAGAATTTTAAGATTTTTGAACACTAAGTATCAACATGTAGTCAGAATATAAACTAATTTAAACAAATTAACACATAATTGCTAGAATCTTCCACATTCATAAGATCACCATAAAACATTACGTCATAGACAAGAAATCATTGACTCTTTACACGTTCATTGACAATTTGGCCAAATATGTGTCCCTACAAAAGTCATGATGCTGTTAAATGATGAAGCAAGCTCTTGTTTTATGTCACTAGCCACGGGCAGTGTGCAAAAGAAAGTGGAAAATTATCAGTAGGTCTGTTATTGGTCAATATTCACACAAGATAGTCGAGTCAGCTGCTTTAGTGTTTGTAGATTGACAAGTCGTTGTGTTCAGTGAAAAATTGCCATTTAACATCTCGTCTTATGAGGGTAGAATACGTATCTATTGTCTTAAACACAAAAAGTTTCCAAAGAAATGCCTTCTGTAGCTTTATTTGTTTAGTAACAGTGACATTATAGTAATTGCTCTATGGACCAAACTGAAATTGGTCTGCTGTCAAGACATCAGCAGAATGTGAACAACAACATCTGTCTGCATATGACACTGACAACAAAGGACATCTTCAACACTAGTAAAGTCATTGTGACGTCTTTTCTTGTCAGTTTTTCCCGTTTTAACATTAATTAAAATGTTTGAAGTGACTTTGGATGGAAATCAGGAGCATACCAATTTTAATTTTCTTCCTAACTCAATTTGTTACGATATAACAAGGAGTAAAACTACATTCATTTTTACAAAGACTTTGCAACCTCAAGTGGGTTTTATCTCGTGCATCGCTTCAAGATAAAGAGTGAATCTTGTGGAGTTTAGATGCTGTCCTCTTGTATGTAGCTTCGTGATAAAATTTGAAATCTGACTGTTACTATTCCTGGACATGATGGTGACTTGATATTTATAAAGAATTTGTTATTTATGGAGATGCATTTTTAAAGTCTGTTTGTTCGTATTTTAATTATGGTTAAATTCTTCAATTTTTAACAACGATCTCTCCTGAGTACAGATTAGAGGTTATTTGTTGGCTCGAAGGATTTATTGCAGAATAGATCTCTCCTTACTTGTATTCGGCAGAGGTTATGTGTCGGGATAAGTGTGTGTATGTATATGAGAAGTTATGTTTACAGTACAGGGCATCATATCAGCTTCGTCATATCATGCTTAACAATTTATATGGAAATCACATAGAGCATCAATTGTCTGTTTCATTGTCTTAATGTTTGTTGGCAGATATTTTTCAAAAAAGGAAAAAAAATATTAATCATTCCATTGTGATTTCACTGTTATGAAATACCCTTAATGGAAAGTAGTACAATTGATATGAATATATGTTGTGACAAGAGTTACTATAAATGTGCCATTAGTTGGTATGTCACTGGTGCTGGCTGTTTTGTCCTCGTCATAGTTATCAGGCTGCATTATACACAAGTCTTGTATTCTTGAAATATTATAACCTTATAAAAAATCTATCATGTTTTGTTTGCTTTTCACCCAATGAATCGTCTTATTTCCGCATTTATTTAATACAATATATTTAATATCTTAATGTATTGTGTAGTAATATTTTTATTTAAAAACATCCAAAAATTATGAATTGCTTAGTATGGTTTTATAGGAACACATTTCCTATTTTCATTTGTCATATTTTTGTTAATCATGATATTTTATCAATGCCAACACCAAACCCTTATCAAGATATGTAATTTTTATATGTGTATTTTAATATTATGTAAATTTAATTGACTGATTTTATTATGAACATTTGTGATAGTTTTGTTTTTAAGCAGTTTATTTTTACTGACAGAGAGAAGAAGCTCTCAATTTGGATACAGTACACACCTGTTATTAGAATTCCATGATCTGGTTTTTCTTGTTATTAACTTGCTATTTATAGTAGAACTGTGTCCTTCAGTTTACCGAGTCGTAGAAATAAAATCTACCAATGAAGATAGTTCATATGTTCATTTTCCTTGTAACAATTAATAAATATATTTTAATGGATGTTTATTATAAATATCCAGAGTAAATGTGTTTTAATGGGTTTAGCCGTTGGAGGAGGTGATTACAGCCATTGAGCTGTTACCTTGATCGAGAAAACATAGTTATTTTAATTGCTGATTCAGCAGTACTTGATTTAAACATGTGATAGACTTGTCAGAATGTGTTACGTCATAATTTTTAGTTTAAATCAATTTTATTAAATAAAAAGACAAAAAATTTAAACATGTGACGGACTTGTCAGAATGTGTTATGTCATAAATTTTAGTTTTAATCAATTTTATTTAAAAAAAAAAAGACAAAAAATTTAAACATGTGATGGACATTTCAGAATGTGTTGTGTCATAAATTTTAGTTCAAATCAAGTTCATTGCAAACCAAAAGACAAAAAATTTAAACATGTGATGGACATGTCAGAATGTGTTACGTCATAAATTTTAGTTTAAGTCAATTCTATTGCAAACAAAAGACAGAAAAATTAAACATGTGATTGACATTTCAGAATGTTTTACGTCATAAATTTTAATTTGAATCGATTTTATTGCGAACAAAAGACAAGTTATTACAACTTATTTACCTTCTTTCCATAACAAATAAATACATGTGAAATTGATTCATTTATGTATTCTTGGAAGAATTTTGAGGTTAAGGTGCAGTTACAGCAAAGTTGGAAAGAAAAGGATAAGGGATATGAACAGATACTAGAAATATGTGTGCGAATAAATTATTGCAGATTAGATGTGTGTTTTTCCTCCTCTTGTCATCATCAGAATAAAACTATTCCATACACACAAATATAACTTTGTAGGAGACTATTTTTATTATCTGTACAGGGAATAAGGATCTCGCTGTAGGCAATATTATCTCATGGATAGACAATCTGATTACATACAATGTGATAAGGTGTTTGTGTTCCGATTGAACGTGTGTTTTAAAGGATTCAGAAATCCGTTACAAAACGTGTGCAGGAAGTTGTCTTTACTGGTCATCATTGTGTTATATTGTGCTGTTTGTTGAGTTTTTATTGTGTTATCAAAATGAAAAACCATGAAATGGTAAACAGAGCCAAAACATTAAATTGATATTCATGAATTGCCGTGGTTTTGTGTTTGTTTAAGGTAAACATTGGGCAAGAGTAAACACTAGAAACATACAAGGGGATGACGTCATGTATAAGTTACCGTACATCTGACTTAAGTCGATCAACGAAGTGAAAAGAACCAGAATATAAACAGATACAAACCGTTATGTTTTTTTCTTTGGAGAGATTCTTTCTGTCATTATTTTCGCATCTTCAGCTACAATGGGAAATCTCACGATTGCTTTATTTACCTTTAAATAATAATGTGATTTTCATTTGAGACTAAGGATGGTATTTTCATCTTAGGCAGATAATGATATTTTAGAGGATGGATTGAAATCTCGAAAAAAAAAAAGATTGCAGAAAACACAGACCATAATCTGTTTCATAGCTCAGGGAAAAATCCTTTTTTCTTCAAGCTTTGATGAATTTGGCACCTTAAACAGTATATAGAATCCTTTAAAAAGAATAGAAAGTCTAAGAATTCAAGACAGGTTGCTCCTATCGTCCATCATCGACACGTTATGAGTATCTAGCTTCAATCCAAGTAGTGAAACGTTATCATGAGAAATGCCAGGTATACGTCGGTGAAACAGCCAGGCAAACTAACGAGTTCGCTTAAACCAATCTAGCCTCAAGTCAGCAGCACATGTTGACTATGTTAGTTTTTACTGTTATCCTCACATACATCCGTGTGATAATGTTTACTGTTACGTACCTCTGGAAAGGATTGTCGTCGTAGGTGTTGTTGACGGCCCTGATATCGTCTTCTACGATTCACCGTTTCACGTTTCAGTTGTGTGTGTGTGTCTTTTTTTAATTACTCTTCTATTTGTAAGTGTAAGGTAAAGAAGATTTAGTAATGTATTTTTGTGTTATCTTTATTTTCTCATGTTCATGAGAACATGTATATCGTGACGTTTGAGAATGATGTTCCTTAAATTAAGTTAACCATAATTTGTTCGGTTTTTGTTCTACTTCTCGCAATGTCCATGCTTAACTTAATCACAAATGTAAATGATACATATGCATATATGCTATTTATCATATAGCCCATACAAAATGATCAGCTGTTTTCGTTTTGGTACTTTTAATTTGGAGGATTCTGTCATCTGGCATACTGAATACTATAGTTATAATGATTTTGTACCTGGACACGGTTGTCCATCATGTCCATCCAACTGTCTATTACGGTTACTACAATGTTTTAAATTCTTGGTTAGACGGTTTTTTCATTATTCACTCACAGGAATAGCTTATTGGCAATGATCTCATAATTGTCTTTCTCATAACGGAACACTTCAAAAAAATCTTACCGTGAAATTTGAATGCTCATTATTCTGACAATGGTAGTCAACGTTACTCGCTTATATCGTACTGTAAATAATTAATCCATTATACATTTTTGGTTTGAGATTATTTAAAACCATTAAGCATAGGCCATATTTTTTTCTGTTATCAAAAGAAATACGGTTCGTACTTAAATCCCAACAACTTCAAAACCATTTGCTACTGCGACATTCTACTTGGTTAGTAACTATTTTGTTTGGATCGCTGGTAAACAATTTTGAAATGATAAGTAAAATCTACTGTTATACACGTGCTTGCTTCTGTTCTTGAACAGAAATTGCCATTTATCCTACAGTGTTGTTTGAGTATTTTTTGTTATAATGAAACGTATTTAAACGCAGTTTCTTGAAATATCTGGAACAAAGTATCAATGTTTGTTACGGGAAAGCACCCAACGATCTCTGATTGTCTGATTTACCAGACGAAAACACTCGATCAGTGCTCTATCAACTAATCCATTTGTGTCTGTAAACACAGGTCTTAATCTTCCAAGTATCAAAAAGTTCGCGCGAATCGGTAGATTGTGGCAAAGGATTGGCCAGTAAAGGACAAAGCACGTCCGATTCAATTTTGTCTTGATGAAAGAAAAATTAACAAGGAACGACGCAAACAATTGAATATATAATGTGCTTCATATGAACAACATGTAACACGGATCGAGTTAGTATTTCCAGTCTTTTTTCCCGATGTTAAACGGCGTTTATGATACAAGGTAGATATAGTATATTCAAAGCCAACATTGGAGACAGATTTCCCGTTTTGAAGTTTGACTCCACTCTATACATAATGTTTAGTCTCAAAGCAAGATTTTTTTCGTGGCGTACAATTTTTATCATTTTATTGCCTAATTCTATTGTTTTATAGGAGGGACAAAGAGAGCCCTGGATTTTCGGTCTAGATGCGCATAATCCGGAATTCTGTTAGATAGACAGGATCTTCATCTTCTATGGTATCTTCATCAGTACCATATCATTTATTGTCTTTAATCTTGCTGATCTCCAAACAACCACGTGAAATTGCCCAAATTCTGACAAGAAAAAAAAAATTGAAACCAGCTTTCATTTTACTTGAACAATGCAGTATAGAACTGAAATTTTGAATCTAAGCACTTTAAGGTTGTAAAACAATGTTTGTATTTTTCTGTCAATATGAACGTTTTTTATCCTCAATCGGAAATGTCAAATGGGAAATGTTTGGCAGGTTGACGAGTCGTCCATTTCTTTAATACACATGTATTGATGATGTGTCAGTATGGTGTTTATGTGATCTAACTATCTGGAATGGAAATAACAGAATCATTTGTCCTCCTCCCTCAAGAAAGACGAATTTTATCTTGATTACTTATGTATCTTTTGTTATTGTGGAAGTTCACATTTCCTTTACTTAAGATCGTTCTGCATTAGCAGATCCGGTAAATCACAGCTATATGCACAGCGTATATCTAATTCTATTGTCGACCAATCATCGGATTTTTTTTTCTTTCGATATTTCAATACTACCTCCATCCCATACATTTCTTACCTTTGTGTTGACACCAGACTTGTAATATTGTTTTTTTATTTAAGTGGATGAAGGGTTACCGATTTGTTTAAATAGTTGACCTAGACCTATATTCAAGATCTCTTGGATTAAGTGAGTTGAGGTCTTAAAATTTCTTTTTCAACAAGCACTAGGTTCGAGGCAGTGGCATTTGTGTAGTAGCATGTAAAATTAATATGATTTCAACTTTGAAGAAAATGTTTTTATGTACCAACCAATGTCTCCTATTCAAGCTATAGTGTAGCTGAACAACTTCTTTTAGGCCTATTTGGCCTCTTTCATATATAGGTCTTTACAGTCCAATGACAGTTAAGGCCCGTGGGTCTCTTGTTTTCCTTCAGTGATAGAACCTGTACATAACCCAATATGTTGCCCTATTCGATACGGTTTCTACTTATATAAAGAGGCTGTCTGTATGATATCATGATTCGTTTGGTTTAAATTTTCTAAAACAACATAATATATATATATTTGCTGGTATGACCTTCATCAAGTATGGTATGTAAACGAATGTGTATAAATAACACACGTTTTGAATAGAGCAAAGCGATATACCTGAATGAACAAGCTCGCCTGCAGTCACATGATGACCTGTTAGGGACGAGAATACCAGCTGCTCAACAACTGTGGTTACACTTAAGTAGCAAGAGACATGTGTAATTGTTTACAAAACTTACTGTTCTTCATCTGTATTATGTTAAAGACGGCACATGGGCAAGCCAAATCACCACACATACTTTTCATAGTAGCAGACGACTTTGGTAAGTAAACTCACGGGTGTTAACCCTCGTACATGATATGCATAATATCTGCACAAACCACAACAACAGTCTAAATATAGAACAGTAAAATATGAATCAGATCCAATCAATAAGCATTTACAGTGTATAGCTAGATGAGTTGGGTCTACTACACAAATCAATAAACTAGAATGTAGATATAAACTTACTACAGAATACATCATTATTTAATGTCGCGTTTATATATCGCTGGCTATAAGGTCCAATATCAACTGACGCATCATAATTATGTTATACCCCACAAACAACCAATAGAAAACCATGTATTAAAAACAAAGGGAAAATATTCTTGATAAGATCAATTCTCTGACACTATTTCTTGTTATCTCAAATGACGAGAATGACCTGTTTTATTTGCATATCTCATATGGTGCTGATGAAAACAAGCAGGATAAATCTTGTTATGGTCCTATTCTACAATAGTTGGGAACTTTTTTCGAATTCTTTTTTTTTTAGTTTAATGTACTAGATTCTAGTTGGGTTTTCCCATTTTTTCACAATCCCTGGACGTAATTTAACATAATTTTGAAATTATTAGATATATAAAAATCACGAAATCTATAAAGTTTTACCGTCGTCATCACAAGTTGTCACTTAGGTTTCAAACTTTAGGACATTATTGTACTGTACTGGCGTTACTGTATATAACTTCCCACCTTCCATTGTTACAACACAGCTTTCAACAGACAGTGTTTAAGGTTTCAATATGTTTAACTGACAAACACGGGGATGTTAAATAGTTGGAGTCATGATATATTTCTGGGAAATATTCTGTTTTCTCGTACGATAGGAAGTTCGTCGTGTTCAATTTGTGTGTGAAACAAAAGTCATTTATCAGTAGCTTCATCGCCGTACCCAGTATATATTTCGTATGAAGTACACAAATATTGTCATGATAAGACAATAATATTAATCAAGATAAACAATGCTTACAATTTTTAATATTTATCATTCAACTTCAAATAAGTATCGTATATCTATTTATTGATCCGTTTCCGTATATTGCTTAATTGTTGATAAAAAAACAGACCCAAAAAACAATAGTAATTAATTTTCCCTGTACTGTAATATAGTTGTTAAAAGCAGCTACTGGCGCTATGTATAATCATAAACAGAACAGACGAAAACAATAACCAGACGAATGTACATGAAGAATAATATCGGTGAAAAGAATGATATATTTTCAATTCAATCAACTTAATGTTGTGTATTTTAGGATGGAATGATGTGGGATTCCGTAATCCAAACATCTCCACTCCAAACATCGACAAATTGGCAAAGGAGGGAATCATACTGGACCAGGCATATGTACAGCCTGTATGTTCTCCGTAAGTATGTTACACGTGTGTGATACATGTTTGTTCGCCATATGCATTTTTAAAATGTATTTTTTTTACACATATATATGTGTTCATCGTATTTATTTTTACACGTGTGTGATATATTTTTGTTCTCCGTAAGTATTTTTCACGTCTGTGATGTACATTTGCCATCGGTATTTTACAAGTGTATTGATGTGTTTGTTCGCCGGATATATTTTTACACGTGTGTTATATATCTTTGTTCACCGTGTGTAATTTTACACGTGTGTGATATATGTTTGTTCACTAGCTAGCTATTGTAATAATGGAAAAATGCATTTTGTATACAGATGTTACAATATTCGAAATGAAAACATAATTCCTCAAACGAATCTGTTTCTATTCCACAACACATCTATAGTTTTCATTAAATAGTATCCTTTTACAGCATATCACTATAAATGAATTTTGCCATTAACATCAATTTCCTTTGGTTTTTTTGCTATTGCCTTCCAGCAGAAATTTACATTGATTTACTTGCTGGTTTTTGTAATATGTGTTTTTTGTATAAGATGTTGTGCATATTACCACAAACACCTAATTGTCATGTAATATCGGTCATTCAACAGATATATTGATATTCTTGAATATGTACAGGTACATTATTAGGTATTCAAACCTATTCTGGCGTTCTGTTGCCTTTTTGTATATTGGTCTGGAGTCAATGAACCCCTGACCTATATAAAACAAGTTGATAGATCGCCATACAATGCTTTCGGTTAATTAGGTAACAGAGAAACGTAACTTTCTACAAACACATTGCATACTACAGCAAAGCATTCTGGTATCGGCGATAATCTAAATGATATTTTTTGTTTATAGTAATATGAATATTTTTGTATCGTAGATCCCGGAGTGCTTTCATGACAGGGATGTATCCTTTCAAAACGGGACTACAGGTAATCTCTCATTGCTGCATTTATACTATCTTAAAGTCAAATCTACAAAATTCTTTCATGACGACTAGTCAAATGAGCATTAGTTTGGAATGTAGGACATTAAAACAATGTAAAACAACACATGACAAATTAAAAATATTTAGTATATATTTATAACATTCTAACAATAATAGCAAAGTAAAGTTTCAGTCAATGTTTCGAATGATACTAAAGGATTATAACACTGAATCTATTCTATTTCTGTTTTAATTACGTTTTGCTTAACATTTGCAGCATTTGGTGGTTTGGCCTGACCAGAAGGTGTGCGCGCCAACTAATCTTACATTCCTACCACAACACCTGAAAAAACTTGGATATGCAACGCATATGATAGGAAAGTAAGTATTTAAGCAACGGCAATCTACTACTCTATCAATAAGTAACATGACCAATGTATTTTAACTCATGTTATTTGATCATAGGCGAAAAATAGTAATTACCACATTAATTTGAATGCGTGAACAGATGTCTTTTCATTAACTGTCACGCCTTGGTGTTTTATGTAATTTACAAAGTTGTCATAGAATTTTCTTAATAAAATATATGATAAAAATTGTACATTACGTTACCATACTGTGTATCTAGAACCGGATTAACACACTAGATGAAAACTTGACTACAAAACTGAAGCATATGATAGACAGTAAAACGGAAATCGCCAATGCGAGAACGGAAATGGAATATATGATAAGGAGAGACACAAGTCAGATAAACATAGAAATGAACGTGAAGGTCTGATGGCTGACATATACACTTCAGGGACACTCAGGAATTACACACTGGAGACAAACACACAAAATATTGTAATAAAACACTTGAGTTCAAAGACAAATTAAGAGACACTGAAAACAATTCTGCCACATCTAAAACCACGTGTCGATCTTAAATCCCAGATGTAATTTCCTTTTCAAAAGATTACATAGAATCGATTGGATATGAGAACGAGTTTTAAAATGATAAACCCATTTTGCTCCATAGTATTAGATAATATCAGATACATATACATGTGCTATTTACCAGTATGTCGCTGCTTGTACTGCATTTATAAAATCTAACTCAAAGTCATAATTGGTCTTTTCAACCGATGCATGGGCTACCTTATCATGTATATAATATACATGACGATGTTACTATTGTAGATGGCACCTTGGATTCTGTAAGTGGCAGTGTACACCCACCTACCGCGGATTTGATTCTTTCTATGGTTATTACACCAGTCACGAGGATTACTACAGAAAAAGTAACAGTATGTATCAACACGGGTTAAAATATGAACGTGTATGATGTCTTATAATTGCAAGGGAAAAGTGGAGAATAAATCTGAAATGGGTCCCCGGCCATATCTGAGTCAATTTTGATTGTTTTAGCAAGATTTTTAATGTTGTAGTATGAAAGTAATAGCCATATATATACGTGTGTTTAAGCAGCCTTTTCAATGTTGTGGTATGAAAGTAATATTATATATATTATATATACGTGTATAGATTTTGCTATGTAGATGCTTTTAGTTTGCCTTAAATAATAATCTGTCTGCAATATCTAATGATTTTATCTTTAAAGATGATAATAGAGAAACACAAATGTATAGAACTTTTAAATACAAATGTTCGACAGAATTACAAAGCTTTAGTGTTGGCAGCTCATGTAGTAGTTTCTGTTATGTTTGAGCATTGAAAGCATGATGATAATTCATGCAACTACGAAAGGAAAGAAGAATTGTCAACTGTGTAAATACGCGTAGCGCATTCATAATACATTTTGTAATTGGTTTTTTTCCCAAGTGCAAATTTCGCAAGAGCAGAACTAGCTTGTCGGCTCCGGGTCAGCTGAAGTTGATTGTTAGGTGTTGAACCAGACGAGAATGAAAGCGTACTGCTAATATAAGCTTTTTGTGTGGATATTTAAATTTATTTGAAATACTTATCGAATGTAAAGTTTGCTATCTGTGACTGGGTACATCGTAGTAAAGTTGTATATCAAGAATTCCATTCACGAAAAAAAAGTAGTTTTGTCAGGTCTCCTGCGTTTATTCGAAGAACCAATCAGAATCAAGGGGCGTGCTTTATTCATTTTTGTACGCCACTGTCAAAGAAATTTCGCACGACATTGAATTCCATGTAGTATTTACCGTACAAACAACTAAAACTAAATAATATTCCAGAATTGTTAACATATTAATCGAGACAATAAATATCGCCATTTATTAGTAAGAATAGGTAGCATTTACTGACAACAATAATTATTCCATCTCAAATTGTAGGTCATGATAAACTTCTTGGATTTGACTTCAGGAAGAACATGGAAACTAATGAAGAAGCGATTGGCACGTACTCTACGGTGAGATAAAATATTTTCACAATGTGGTAATTTTATCTAAAGTATCTATGTAAAGAGAATAGTCAACATGTATATTAAAACACTTACGTGACTTGATTAACACAATATTTCAATCCTAACTAACCGTTTCACTACTTCTAGAATTGGTTGGTTAATTTATCTCTTATTCAAAATTCTACAAATTATTCATAGTACTAATAAATCAGCGTGTAGTACTAATATATACACCAGCAAAGCTTTAACGGATTAAGAATTACTTGGAAATGTTATGTTTCCGCTCTTAAATTACCGTATCTCATGTCAAAATGTATATAAATCTGTCTTGTGTTCACATACCGCCCTTGCTTGATCGCTTTTCAGTTAGCATAAGAAAATAACATAGTTGATTAAAATATCATGAATTCATCTCGTGTCTGTATCTGACCTGTCTGGTTCAATTGTTTAACGTTTTTGAAAGGATCTATGCATCCACCATTTAAACATCTTCCGTCATCGTCATTAGTACAGAGGAATCCACTAAGATGTGTACGTAACACTTTACTGGTGTTATCTACGGGGAACATATCCGCATATCTACTGCTGTTCACATTAGATCCATCTATTAATTTCATTAAGTTAAATGGAGACCCATTTAGATATAAATTATTAAAGTTTTCAAAACAGTGTATTTATAGTAAATTATTTTATATCAATGTTGTTTCCAATCTAACATTCTTTTTCAGTTTCAGTATACTACCAGAGCGCTGAATTTGATTTCACAACACAACAAGAGTCAACCATTTTTCATGTATATGCCTCTACAATCCGTTCACGCGCCGATTCAGGTAACGGAAAAACTAATTTGTTCTACACAAAACCGAAAAGTTTGCTTTTTTACCTGATATAACTTTAATCTCCATCTATATACAATGTAATAGTATTTTAAAAGGTCATTATCTATTTGACGACAAAATGCGTGTACAGATTATGTGATGACCGGATTTGAAGAAATAGTATAACGAGTAGTTGTTAACTTCATAGGTTACATCAGACTGTTAAAAAAATGATTGGAATTCTAAGAAATCGACAATAGCCGACAACAGCCTGACAAATATATATAATAATATATATAATATATATATATACCATGGTACATCGAGATGCTAAAATTTTAATCTTTGTGTATCATAGAGCACCACGATAGAAAAAAATATAAAAATTTACATTATTTTGTCAGGCTCTTGGTGGCCAGCGTAGAAATCAGATTAAAATATGAATACATGAAAAAGGAGAATTAGAGCAGAAAGAAGACACATTATACATAATGTGGAAACCAATTAGTATTGCTTACTACTATGATTGTATAATATGATACTAACCTCTAAATTCTGCTTACGTGAGTCACCTTCTGGAAAGACAATTTGATGAATAGAGTAATTGTATTTCAGGTGCCCATTGAGTATGAAAATATGTACAACCATATACGTAATGAAGGCAGAAGAAAATTTTCTGGTGAGACTCAATTTATTTTCTTGATGGAATATAGGTAAAGAACAGAACTTTATAAGATGATGTGTTAATTATCAGTATCAGATTGTGATATGATGACTATGTCCCTTTCCTGAAAGAAATGTTTCGGGATAATTTCCATGGTGAGATGCTGCAGATCATTGTGTATATACAACCTAAGCAAACTTAAGGATATCGTCGTTCAATGAAATTAATGTGTGGTTATCATTTATCTCTAGGAATGGTGACAGCAATGGATGACGTCATCGGTAATGTCACAGAGGCTCTGAAGGCAAACGACATGTATGACGACACACTTATTATCTTTTCGTCAGATGTGAGTTCAACTGTTTAGGAAACATATCGAAATTTTTAATGTTCAACGTTTAGAATATAAATTGGAACATGAATTAAATAATTTGAAATTACCATCGAAAGTCTACCAACAACATATTTTACATGATATGCTTCTTTCCGTCTCTTCTCACTATACCCGCCGTGTGTGATCTGTGAACATTGTGTCTAGAACTAGCTGTTTTTAAATCAGGACCTCTCTCGAAAATGTCAATATTCAAATATCGTTACTTTTAAAATATTCTGGATAACATATTTACGTTTTTATGTCGTCGCAGAATTGACCTAAGGATTTCATTTGATAAACTAGATTTCCTTTAATGTGAAACATGTTATATAACCATTGTAATTTGTGACGATATATTAACATTTTGGTTATCTGTAAACCTGTATTTTGAGAAAGTATAATCTTGTCAGGTTTCGATATTTGTTTTAGGCTTACAATTTCTAAATCATGGGCATTTGACCAAAACAACATGTTTGTTCATTTGTACGACTGTTTAATAATTTGAATGAGTCTTGTTATCACCATTTGTTTTTCTTTTGATTCCAAGAATGGCGGCTGGCCTGCCGAATATGGAAACAATTTCCCACTACGAGGCTCTAAGATTACGGTATACGAGGGTGGTACCAGAGTGACGTCATTTGTTCATGGGACCGGACTTAAAAAGACAGGATACACTTATCGTGGGTATGTTCAAATTTGCACTTCTGGATTCGATTTACAAAGGCGATATGAAATTACCTGAGATGTATTGTTCACTAGTTAAATCGGTAAAGCAATTATTCAAAAGTTTCAGAAAAATAAAAGATGATGTTTTGAATATTGTAGAAAACCACTGGAGTGGGAACCACCTTTCTATACATTTAGAGTTCGATGAAATAGATGAGAACAATGAATAAACTGTACGATATAGCTGTTTTGTTCTCCTAGGACTCATCATTGATGTTGAATATTAAACTTTGAAGCCTGGGAAGCGCCTGATAGTGATAGAAAGAAAAGCCAAGATTAAAGATGTGGACATGCAATGTCATCATAATGCACTTTTTTGTAATGATTGTAGCTCTGGTAATTCTAGCATGTATGTGTATATTCTAAACCGTGCTGAGTTAGATGGCGGGTGTCGTTGATGAAGCCGAAGACGCTTACCCTTCCGGAACACCTAATCTAATTGTCCTTGTACTTTGCAAGGTTTGCAAATTTTGCTTGTGCAGTAAATAACACATAAAAAACAAAATGGTTTACATTATGCAAGCTATTGGCAAAGCAGAAAGCGAGTATTATGCACCTGAGAGATTGGTTGTAGTGCTTAAAAATCATTGTTTTCTATTTGTCCACGTGAACATTGATCACATATCCTCTATCCGTTATCGTCGTCAATTGAAACTGTCGATCATGATAAAAACGTCCCATGGCAATAAGATCGTTTTACATTCCTTTTTATTGACCTTGGCATATTCAATAGTTACAACATATTCTATTAAGTAATCTCATTCAATTCAGGCGGATGCACACGTGACTATTCAGTTAAATATGTAAAAGCAGCTTGTGTTTTAAATGATACGACTTACAACCAACTGAAAATATGACAGAAAAAGAGAGACAATACCATACACTATTTGTAAGCGCATATGTAAAGAAAGTATACAAGGAGGCAGTATCAATAAACAGGGTATGTAGGGGAATTAAAGGTCATAATACATCTGCAATCTATATGTGTTTCAGGATGATTCACGCCGTTGATTGGAGTCCAACGATAGTAGCGGCTGCCGGTGGAGTTCCTGGTACTACAGTTGTATCTTTGAGACATAACGTTATATTGAATCTATTTATACTATATGTGTTGAGAAGCCTTAAATCATATAATCATTATTTTTATTTGTTAAAATTGTTATCTTCTGTAAACAAGCCACACCTTCAGGTTTTAAAATCTTATGGATTTAGCGATGGTGAATTATTATCAGTAGAATGAATGATTGTTGAATGTTGAACATGTACAAAAACAATTTCACGATCAATGACTTTTCATTATAACATATAACAATTATTATAATTCTGCTAAATTAGAAAGGGAATCAGTGGTAATACCTATATTTGTGTATTTTAGATAAGAACATTGACGGCATAAGCCAGTGGGATAATATTAGGACGGGAGGTCAGTCAAGCCGGACAGAATTTATATACAACCTTGATGATCTGCCTCCGTATCAGACAGGTCACGCAGCTATCCGGTGAGAGTACATTTAGAAGATCTAAAGATATTTCTCTTTTTCAGTCAAAAGTCGTCTCTTTTTTCATTGATACATATGGTTAAAACAACTATGCAACATTATAGGAAATGGAGCATATCACTGCGGTTTGGTAGTAAAACAAAGGCATTCCATAACATGCTGGACTAGTCGTCAGTCAATTTATATAAGTTTATTATTTCAAATAAGAGCACATAATTTATAATTGCTATAAAACGTTTCCGATAATTATTTAGGAGTTGGCATTTTATAAGATTTGGTATTCATCCAGAAATTAAATTAAAATCATTACTAGATTGCGCGGATGGTATATTGAATAGTATAGTCACACATGGAGAACAGAAACTCGCACATTGTGTCGAGTTGTTGAGTATTGAATATTAGGAAAGTCGGGCAACTCACGCATTTTGTTGTATAATTTAGTTACATTACGACAGTTCACGTGTGGACAGAGTTGAATCAAATATCAAATCTTTCAAATGTGCTCCTGATAAGGGATAACACTTTCAATAGATTATCACTGAGCACAGTTTTACATGTAGATATAATACAAATATGTAAATGAACCAATTTATGGTTTGCATGAACGTCCATGATTATGTGCATTAATGTACGGGTATATATGGTAACTACATATTTACTACAATAACCAATAAGGCGATAGTTTAGCTTCTTTCTTAATATCCCCTTAAAGATTTTTTTTTTTTCAAAATTTCGCTGGATGATTCATCAGGTATGTTTTAAGAACAACGTCGTTTTTGTGGTATGTCAAGTATGTTTCGTAACATATCAAATACACAAGGATGTCATGGTTCTACAGTTTTTTCAATTTGCTATTTATCGACAGTATGGGAGATTACAAGCTGATTGTCGGTTACCCGGGATTGTACCCTAACTGGTATCCCCCTCCCACATACACGGATGATAATTACATCAAGGAAGTGCCCTACGACGCCAGCCAGAATAACAAAACACAGTTGTTCAATCTAAAAGGTGATTCTTTTTTCTTTCATATCTATCTTAATTAACTACACTTACTATCGCTGGATTTGATCTATTTTTATTGACGTAAATTATGTTTATATTGTTACTCTATATGTCTTGAAAAATACATGTTTATTTCATATATTATTACGTCAAAAGTAAATAATTCTATTCAATTAACATAACCAGCTCGTCAAAATAGTTGTATAGTGTAACAATATGGGATATCCATCCCTCTACTAAAATTTAAGTAGTTTTTTTTTTCGATTGAGCTTATGCGTTTAATAATTTCTTAGGGACGAACTTGTTATAAAATCTTTTTATCTTATTTACGAAAGAAAAAAATCTTTGCTACAGAAATGAAAACATAATAAGTGAAAAAACGAAAAAGGAATAAAGTAACACTCATAGACGGCAAGACGTCTGGACGTAAAATTCATGCCAAAAATTTATATCACTATTTGTTTTGACATATTTCTGACATTTCTTTATTACAATTCTGCTAAAAATAGAATTGCATATCCAGAAAAATCTAAAAGTCTATTGTATCTTTAACTCCATAGCAACCTGTTTTTATTTTTGAATTTTTATTATTTTGAATGGAAAGATATGAAAATTACGCTTAAAACATCCAAATCCACATTTGATCCCTTGTCTTACAGATGATCCAAACGAACACGATGATCTATCGACGAAACTTCCTGACTTGGTGGAGAAACTTCGGACAAGGATGGCGGAGTATCACAAACAGATGGTTCCGGCTAACTACCCAGCGGGTACGTCAACGGCCGACCCGAAGAACTATAATGGCTTCTGGACCCCTGGATGGTGCTAACTTTCTTTTCTGACAACGGAATAAGAGTACAATCTAACTCATGTAATCATAAGCCCCACACAATATATTTCAATGAAGTCAAACACATATCTTATACAACATTAAAATGTAAGAGAATACAAAATATGTCACAATGGATAAAAAAAGTCCAATTTGCTCTTTCGACATGGTGAAACGAAAGTAGTACTTTTCTAGTTGCGACAATTCTTACGGAATAACTGAGTACAGGTTGTTATGACATTCGAGTTTACAGACACTATAAGATCTTCCTTCAGTGGTTTCAACATCCATGGACACTGTTTGCAAACGACATAAGATTTTGTAAAAATATATAACTTAGATATTTGATGGTCTTCTAGAAATCGGTGACGATTAGGGAAATCGATTGCTTTGGTAAGAGCCTCGTCCCTTCTTTTATAAGATTCCTGTTTAGGACCAGTGGATGTTTAATATGAACAAAAGAAAGATTTACAGGGAGAATCGTACATGGTGAATAATACCAGGTGTTCCGAAAGTGTAAGCTCTTCTGCTTCATCGACGACACGCGCCATGTAAGCCTTTGTCAATCCAAGTAATATCATATTCTCCAACAAGAACAAGGTATACCACAATTAAACCAACAGGCAAAGGCAAGAGCATTGAAAGTCCATTTATGACAGCGGTCATAAACTGAGAATCCGGGAATCGAGGAACCAGATAAATAACAAATTTCAGAACTGTTTCATTTAATGTTATGAAACGATTTTCTTTGCGTTTTTTCGTCTTAGCAAAAATTCTGAGATCATTATTATTTATTGTATTGTCTGTTCCGTCATATTTTTTGTTGATACTAATTGTGTTCAGATATAATGAATACATGTTATGATAGTATCAATATATAAAACAATTGAAGTGTTTAATACTCTCTAATTGCTTGTAACGTTCCATTGTGTAACAAGTGCGAGAGAAGGGTTTGCTTGATGTGAAAATGCAGTTGTTTATGAAAAATAGTCGGTTGGGCTTTTCTATGATTACATCAAAATGAAATAATATTCATTTCCTTTCTTCAAAACTTTGCCTGAAATTATTTTGTCTTATTACATTAATGATATTAGAAAATGGCCAAAAAACGTAGTTGGTTGGTATGGATCGTATGTAAACATATTTATACTACTATACTTCTGTGACTGCTATAAGTATGTACTATAAGGTTGTGTTGTGCCTTGTTTTCATTGGATAAAATATGTCGATTTGATAATAAGCATTTTGTTTTTGATTTAGAAATATATTTTTGTCATCGCGATAACAATTTATACAAATAAAACTCTGAAAAATATAGTAAAGTTTTAAGTGTTATTTCTTGAAAAATGCACAACACCAGCAAATAATATAGAAAGTGTTGCTGTCTTGCTGAGAAACAAAACAAAACAACGTTGTAAACTAGCTAAACAAAAAAAAAAAAAAAGAAACAAAAACACACTGTCAGGGACAGACTGCTACAAAACCTGTAGATGTAGTCTGCATTTCATATAATGTAACTGTATTATTAACACAACTAAAATTATTTGTTAATAATACTTAGATATCCTGTTGTCAAATGAGCGCACTTGTTAGTTTATATATGGAGGAAAAATATTTCAGCTTCTCACTATTATGTGAAATTTAATGATGAGCTGCTTAACTATTTGGTTCTTGGTCATGGCAGGTTCGTTTTGATTTTGTATGATGTAATATTTGTACATACAATTTTACCGTACATGTATTGGAACATATTTGCCTCTTCATGTGTAGATTAATCACCACCCCTTTTCATGAGGTCATTACCAGTTTTACCTTTAGAAGAGCCCAAGCTTATAGAATCTGGAGGTCTTCATCATTAGATGTAACATTAAATACATTAATAACATATCTCACTAGAATATTTCTTATACAAAACGGAAACACTAACCTGGGTACTATTAAAACACTGGTCACCATATTTTTGAAGTTTTAATCTAATTATATATTATAATCTAATTCAAATAATTCGTGTGTATTTCTTAGAGTATCTTTTTTTCTTTAATCAATTCATCTCCTCAACAATGTATTCAAGAGATAAAAAGAAACGCAACTTCGGTTTTTGTTATATAACTTTTAGATACGTGGACGAAATTTCATTAAATTTGACACTGAGCTACCTCTATGCACTGTGCATGACCCCGGTCGAGACTGCATGCTTTCAACAGATTTACCAAGATAATGTGCATCCGGGTTCCCCTTCATCATATGCTGGTAAATGAATACAAATCGAACATTGGAACAGTACAGATCAGTCACACGACCATTGCTTTCCGGAACGACTGTAGAGCGAAATTGTCGCGATTGAGAGCGGTAAATATGGTGTCATTGCTCTAATAAAATAGGGGCATTCACAACGTCATGTAACCCAGAAAAATGGTTACATGAGACAACCATATCCCGATTAGTTGGGTGTCTCCGGGCAACAGGGAGCTTGTGTGACTTTCACAAAAGCGAACGACCGTGCATTACGTCCCGACGTCAAGATATAGGCATACGTCTCTGGCACTTCCTTAACCAATCTCATACGGAGACGGCACGCCAAGTTGTTGACTATCATGGTCGGCAATTGTGTCAAAGACAGCAAGGAATCTGTAGCGGGAGTTTTATTTAAGGCCACGACGTCCCTTTGTTGGTCCGCCACTTACGCTGAGGCGACGCCAATGTCGAATGCAATGGCTGCTTTCTAATGCACTCAGTTAATCATTGGATGGACGACATCGTGTCGTCGACGTCGTGGTGAGCGATATTTTGACGCTTGTGAATGGAAAGCGACCGATTCGAGAGAGTGTCTTATGGTATTGGTCGAGATATCTCTCGTGGTTATTCATGTTTTTTTGGGTTTTTTTTTTATTTCCTTTCAAATTTATTTATTTATTATTATTTTTACATTCTTTTCATTCAATGATAAACAAATAGATACAGAAATATCCTCTCGCAGGAGGGCTCACATTCTTCACTCGCCTTTCACATAACCATTCATCCTAAATACATGTAGCTGTAGCCTGACATATAGCTATTTGTTTACAGTAGATAAAATAGATATCACATTCATTCCAACAAAGAATTTCGATTTGTTTATAAGTATATAAACATATTAAAATATTAAGACAATAAAAAGACGTATTAATTATTCATAACTATTTGTTGTATGCGCGTCGCTTGAGTCGAACGCGCCCACGATTATTCCATGCACTAGTATAGGCGCCAACGGTACTTTAACCATTCATGGAAATCTTACAGCACTAACATATCGGGATCAAGTCTTGAAACCAAACCTCCCTCCTCTTATCCATCAGTGTAACCTCAAGTTGTAGCAGGACAACGCGAGACCCCATTTTGCTTCGGTTTGTCGTGCCTTTCTGGCTCAGAACAAAGCCCCAGTCCAGAATTATCCCCAATCAAGCATCTGTGGAATGAAATGGAGGATGGGGAAGCACGTCAACGTCCTATATAATGTCGCTCAACTCACGCAGGCCATTATTCAGGACTGGCATACTATCTCTCAAGGTACAATACACACCCTGCAGGGGTCAATTTTAGACAATGAGCAGCGAGTGAAGCTAGAGGTGGGCACACAAACTATAGATTTTGATCAGGAAACGACGTAGACAGATTACCTTTGTTTTGTTTTTTGTGTTAGGACAACAAAAATCAACAAAATGTATTCAGTAATGACGAAATAATCGAAAAACCCCAAACGATGAACTAATCATGTAAAATAATAACTATCGAATAGCTAGTATGTAATATATACAATGTCAAATCTCTCCTGAAAAAAAGTGTCTTTTTTCAAATATAGTTATTATTGTACAAATGTGGCTCTTTCACTGAATACATTCAATAACATGTATTGGGGAGGGATAACTCCATCAGAAGTTTCTGCTCTATTACAACATGCGTTTACCTGTATGTTTCGTGAACTACTAATTACACCTGATGTATTTCTTGTATATTTAGTTTGCATAGTCGTCTGCACACAATTTTAACAGCTTGTTCGTCTGCACTCAATTCTAACAGCATGTTCGTTTGCACTCAACTGTAACAGCTTGTCTAGATATAAATTGACAAAATTAGCGTACAGTCTATTCGAGAAAACAAGGCATGCCAGCAAAAATATATCGTAAACGAAACTAGACATTGATATCAATTTTATCTGAGATTGCTATAACTCTTTACGAATATTCCTTGCCAGAGACAGGGTATAATGAACAAAAATATTTAGACTCGTGTAATCAATCTCATATAAATCCATGTTCGTGTAAGATCTTGTATGCATAATACATAGGTATCGGAAAACTGCCATTTTTTGCCAGCTATCAGATACATTTACTCCAGACACTTTGCCAAACAATATTGGCTGAACATTTAGCATGGTGTATAACAGAATGCCTATATATGTTGTGTATTTCTATATGATTTCAAACAGAAGGAAATATCTTCAAACCCCCAAATACTGGATTCAATGGAGACAGAGGATTCCTATCCAGACAACTGACGAACTACTACCGCAGTAGTACTCTGGCGCTGTGCGTGCCACACAAAATCTCAAGCAGAGTAGAGCTCACAGTTATAGATGCCATATCTGTACCGCTATGCTCCTCGGAACGTGTACCCCAATGCCAAACCTGTAGTTCCCGTGATTGGCTGACCTTACTGTCTGCTAAGGCCCTGGTGCCGACTCTCACTGATAAAACCGTCGTGGCCTTGATAAGGTAGCTGGTGTCGTTGTGACCGGTTGGAAAAGCTTAAAAGAATAGTAACGAAGATTGACTCGCATACAACACTTGCACATTATTATGACACAATCAACTACTATTATAAATGAAATTATCCCCAGAAATACTCCTAAATTACACAGTTCATGATACATTTCGAAGAGATATAAAGGTAATAACATAACGAACGACTAATGCGGGCTCAGAATAACATAACGACCATCTAGAAAACAATGTATGAGACATTATACGGCAACTCACGGCTTCCATACTTTTTCAAACACGCATACGTTCTCACCTGAGTATTCTATACGCTTATAAAATACATATAACTTATAATAACTGCAAGAAGTTATAAAAACAGCTACAATAATAACATTCCTAGCAAATACTAAGATACAATCTAAGAAAGGACACCCTAGTGTAGCTTCATACATAAAAACAACAATGCTACGCACAAACAACGAGTGTTTATCAAAGATATTTATTAAGAAAAAGGCTAAGAAAGCAATAATGCGAAGAAAGAGATATTAAGATAGACTTACCACAGTCTACAATCTGTGCCTGTATATTGTCCCTGTAGTGGTTACATCGGGTAAATAACCCGTAAACAACCGCCTGCGGAATTCACTCGACCTCCATGAACTCCCACTCACCTGGTCACTCGGTCGCTCGACAGGGATAACGAAAATACCGAACGTAGACAACAACATATACATACATACGACGTGACATTTGTTTCATTTAATATATTGTCAGTGTCAGTGAATCCAAAGAATGGTTTTTCATTTAGAATTTTTTATATCATGCAATGTCTATGGTGGTGTTGCAGGCATTGTAATCCTCAAGTTTATTATGTCCTTATTACACTAGTTAAAACGTAATTAATCATAATTTAGGTTCCATCCTGTCGATATCCATTACCAATTTATTGTGACGTTTTCTGATCCAAATACGGATACCAGTACCCGTAATCCCACCTTGAATTCTAAATATATACTCATATTTTTTGTCAAGTGTTGCATTTGCTCCACCTTACTGTATTTTCGTATTTCTATATATAGTAACAGTCCGAGTACAGTTACAACGACGAATACACCACAGTGAGGATGCATATCTGTTTAGCGTTAGGACATGCGTATAATTGAACGATGGCGCCTGTGTGTTGGATATTACAAAATTAAAAAAGACATAGGCATCCTTTCTTTTTCGGATAGCTTTAATTTTCAATTAAAAAAAAGTTTAAGGATAAAATACTTAGCTAACACTGATCCAAACATAAGCAGCCACTGTATTCGTTTCGGAAAGAAATAGTTGTGTGACTGATCTGTACTGTTCCAATGGTGAAGGTGAACCAGAATGCACATTTTCTTGAAAAATCTGTTGAAAGCATGCAGTCTCAACCGGGGTCGTGCACAGTGCATAGAGGTAGCTCAGTGTCAAATTCAATTAAATTTCGTCCACGTGTCTAAACCTTATATAACAAAAACCGAAGTTGCGTTTCTTTTTACCTCTTGAATGCATTGTTGAGGAGATGAATTGATTAAAGAAATGATACTCTTATACATACAGACAAATTATTTGAATTAGATTATAATATATAATTAGATTAAAACTTCAAAAATATGGTGAACGGTGTTTTAATAGTACCCAGGCTTAAAATGTTTTAGTGAGATATATATTGAATGTTACATCTAATGATGAAGACCTCCAGGTTCTATAAGCTTGTGCTCTTCTACAGGTAAAATTAGTAATGACCTCATGAAAATGGGCGGTGATTAATTTACACACGGAGAGGACAAAATGTTCCAATACGTGTACTGTAAAACTGTAATTGCATTATTACATACAAATTCAAAACGAATCTGGCATGACCAAGGACCAAATAGTTAAACAGTTCACCATTTAACTTCACATAATAGTGAGAAGCTGAAATATTTTACACCGACATTCCTTAAACCTGTATCCTGACCATTATTTTTCAATAAATTGATAATAGGATATAAAATTAATAAAATATGTATTGTTAAGTCACTAAAATATGTACATTTTACACAAATAACTACTTATCTTTTTTAATGATCAGATTGTTTTCCCTCCATATTCAGATGAAAAAATAGAAAAATAAATATAAAAGATTCATATAGCGCCCTATGTAATTTCACAAATTACTCTAAGGCTCTTTACAGTACATGTAAAAATTTCAGTCATGGTATCAATAATAAAACACCACATGTACATGTAGCAAAAATTACTAGTCATAGAAAAAGCACACCTGAACGGATGGGTCTTTTAAAAGTGGCGAGTGTTGTTGCTTTCCTGGTTTGTGATGGTTGGTTATTTCACAGTGTGGCAGCTACTATCCTAAAACATCGGTCACCACAAGTCACAGTACGCGACTTAGGCACACATAGCAGGGGCTCAGCCTCTGACCGTAATGAACGTGAAGGCTGGTAGGGAGTGAAGAGCTCTAATAACAGGTGCGCTGATTTGACAACAGGATATCTAGGTATCAACAAATTATTTAAGTTGTGTTAATGATACAATTACAGCATAAAAATGCAGATTACATTACAATTTCTGTTGCAGTCTGTAATTGACGTGTTTTTTTCTTCTTTTGTTTTTTGGTTTAGCTAGTTTACAACGGATCAACAGTCTGTACAAATTACAAGGATATATATTTCATTTTCTCAGCAAGGCGACAGCACTACCTATATTATTTGCTGGTGTTGTGCATTTTTCTGGTTACAAGAAATAACACTTAAAACTTTACTATATTTTTCAGAGTTTTATTTGTATAAATTGTTATCGCTATGACAAAAATAAATATTTCAAAATCAAAGACAAATAGTTTATTATTAAATCGACATATTTTGTCCAATGAAAACAAGGCACAACACAACCATATAATACATAATGATAGCAGTTATAGTGGTAAGTAGTATAAATATGTTTACATATGATCCATACCAACTAACTACATTTTGCTTCCATTCAATAAGATTATTAATGTAATTAAGACAAAGAAAAGACCAACCAACAATTTTCACAAACAACTGAATATTCACCTCCTTCGAATCCACATACACACGTGTTATATATCTGTTTCCTCGTTTCCCGGATTCTCGTTTATGACCGCTGTCATAAATGGACATTTTTGATGCTCTTGAGTTTGCCTGCTGGTTTGTTTGTTATATACCTTGCTCTTGTTTGAGAACGTGACATTACTTACTTGGATTGGCCAAGTACTCTTTCGGAAAGTTAGGTCTTATTCTCCTTGTCTTTTTTTGCAAGATTCATCATGTAAATCTTTGTTTTGTTCATATTAAACATCCCTTGGTCCTAAACAGGAATCTAATAAAAGGGACGACGCACTTACCAGAGTAATCCATTTCCCTAATCGTCATCGATTTCTAGAAGACCATCAAATATCTAAGTTATACAATTTTACAAAATCTTATGTCGTTTGAATACAGTGTCCATGGATAATGAAACCACTGAAGGAAGATCTTATAGTGTCTGCAAACTTGAATGGCATAACAACCTGTACACAATCAAAATCTAACTCATGTAATCATAAGCCCCACACAATATATTTCAATGAAGTCAAACACATATCTTATACAACATTAAAATGTAAGAGAATATAAAATACGTCACAATGGATAAAAAGTCAATATTGCTCTTTCGACATGGTGAAACGAAAGTAGTACTTTTCTTGTTGTAGCATTTCCTACGGAATAACTGAATAAGGAAGTTATATACAATATTATGTCACGGGGGTGTACCACGTCACTGTCATCTATATTTGATGATGAACTGATGATTGTTATTGCTAATCATATTAATATTATTTACGCAACTAAGATGGGTACATAATTTGACAATTCAACATAAAAACTTTAAACAGACAAACTTATTAGAAATACTGTAGCTGATATAGGAAGCGAAGTCTTACACTTCCAACAATAGTCAGTATTATCCCTCTTTAACAATCAATGTAGATATGTTTATCAGAATCTTGTTTAGGAACACATTGGTGCTGAACCCTTATCGAAATCACAAGTACGTGTACTTGAATGAATAATCTACTAATACAATGAAGACAACGAAACCATCGTATACAAAGGACTTTTTTCTTATGATTGCAGCGGTGAAACGTTATGATAATGGTGATCTTGAAAACAGTTCGAGTTTTCCACATGCTGTCTGTGAGTGTTTATTCTATATTCTTTAAATACAATTCACATTATCGAATCCTTGTTGCATAAATCGCGCCGTATAACAAGTATATTAAAACTGCGAATAAACAGTAGGTAAAACAACTACAGTAAAGATTGTTTTAAACAGGGCCTCTATTTTTCACTAGATTACGGAAGAGAAAATAATAGGGAAAAGGAAAAAAAGATACTTTGAAATAAGATTGGTAATGTAAGCTCAAGTCAATTGCAGTAATTCCTCTAAAATACATTCCTTTTCAAAGTTAATATTTTGGTGGAGCAACGAAAATTTGAACAAAAAGAAAAAAGAATAACGTTAGCACCATCCAGGGGTCCAGAAGCCATTATAGTTCTTCGGGTCGGCCGTTGACGTACCCGCTGGGTAGTTAGCCGGAACCATCTGTTTGTGATACTCCGCCATCCTTGTCCGAAGTTTCTCCACCAAGTCAGGAAGTTTCGTCGATAGATCATCGTGTTCGTTTGGATCATCTGTAAGACAAGGGATCAAATGTGGATCTGGATGTTTTAAGCGTAATTTTCACATCTTTCCATTCAAAATAATAATACTTTAAAAACAAAAACTGACACAACAGGTTGCTATGGAGATAATTGTAATAATGAAATGTCAAAAATATGCCAAAACAAATAGTGATATAATTTTTTGGCGTGAATTTTACGTCCAGACGTCTTGCCGTCTATAAGTGTTAGTTTATTCCTTTTCATTTTTTTTCACTTATTATGTTTTCATTTCTGTAGCAAAGATTTGTTTGGTTTTTTTCGTAAATAAGGTAAAAAGATTTTATATCAAATTCGTCCCTAAGAAATTATTAAACGCTTAAGCTCAATCGAAAAAAAATACTAAAATTTAAGTAGAGGGATGGATATCCCATATTGTTACGCCATACATCTATTTTGACGAGCTGGTTAGTGTAGTTAATTAAGATAGATATACAAGAAAAAAAATCACCTTTTAGATTGAACAACTGTGTTTTGTTATTCTGGCTGCCGTCGTAGGGCACTTCCTTGATATAGTTATCATCTGTGTATGTGGGAGGGGGATACCAGTTAGGGTACAATCCCGGGTAACCGACAATCAGCTTATAATCTCCCATACTGTTGATAAATAGCAAACTTGAAAAAACTGTAGAATCATGACATCCTTGTGTATTTTGATATGTTACGAAACATACTTGACATACCACAAAAACGACATTTTGTTCTTAAAATAGACCTGATGAATCACCCAACGTAATTCTGAAAAAAAATCTTTAAGGGGATATTAAAGAAGCTAAATTGTAGTAAATGTGTAGTCACCACATATATCCGTAAATAAATGCACATCATCACGGACGTTAATGCATACCATAAATGGGTACATCGACATATCTACATGTAAAACTGTGCCGAGTGATTATCTATTGAAAGTGTTATCTCTTATCAAGAGCATATTTGAAAGATTTGATATTTGATTCAACTCTGTCAACAAGTGAACTGCCGTAATGTAACTAAATTATACAACAAAATGCGTGAGTTGCTCGACTTTCCTAATATTCAATAGTTCACAACTCGACACCATGTGTAAGTTTTTTTTCTCCATTTGTGACTATTCATTATACCATCCGCGCAATCTAATAATGATTTTTAATTTCTGAATGAATGCAAACTTTTATGAAATGCCAACTCTTAAATAGTTATTAAAAACGTTTGTGGCAATTATAAATTATGTGCTCTTATTTGAAATAATAAACTTATATAAATTGACTGACGACTAGTCCAGCATGTAATGGAATGCATTTGTTCTACTACCAAACCGCAGTAATATGCTCCATTTCTTATAATGTTGCATAGATGTTTTAACCATATGAATCAATGGAAAAAGAAAGGACTTTTTGCTGAAAAAGAGAAATATCTTTAGATCTTCTAAATGTACTCTCACCGGATAGCTGCGTGACCTGTCTGATACGGAGGCAGATCATCAAGGTTGTATATAAATTCTGTCCGGCTTGACTGACCTCCCGTCCTAATATTATCCCACTGGTTTATGCCGTCAATGTTCTTATCTAAAAAAAACACAAAGAAAGGTATTACCACTGATTCCCTGTCTTATTTAGCAGAATTTTTATATCTTATAATAAAGAAAAATCGTTGATCGTGAAACTGTTTTTGTACATGTTCAATATTCCACAATCATTTATTCTACTGATAATAATTCATGATCGCTAAATCCATAAGCTAATAACACCCGAAGGTTTACAGAAAACAATGATTTGAACAACAAATTCATTATATGATTTAAGGCTTCTCAACACATATAGTTTAAATAGATTCGTTATAACGTTATGTCTCAAAGATACAACTGTAGTACCAGGAACTCCACCGGCAGCCGCTACTATCGTTGGACTCCAATCAACGGCGTGAATCATCCTGAAACACATATAGATTGCTGATATATTATAACCTTTAATTCTCCTACATACTCCGTTTATTGATACTGCCGCCTTTTATACTTTCTTTACATATGCGCTTACAAACAGTGTATGGTATTGTCTCCCTTTTTTCTGTCATTATTTCAGTTGGTTGTAAGTCGTATTATTTAAAACACAAGCTGCTTTTACATATTTAACTGTATAGTCACGTGTGCATCCGCCTGAATTGAATGAGATTGCTTCATACAATACATTGTAACTATTGAATATGCCAAGGTCAATAAAAAGGAATGTTAAGCAATCTAATTGCCATGGGACGCTTTTAGCTTGATCGACAGTTTCAATTGACGACGAGAACGGATAGAGGATATGTAATCAATGTTCCCGTGGACAATAGAAAACGGATTTTTAAGCACTACAACCTATCTCGCAGGTGCATAATACCCGCTTTCTGCTATACCAATAGCTTGCATAATGTAAACAATTTGTGTGTGTGCTATATTTGCTGAACAGTCTAGTGCTTAGACTACATCTTGCAATGGAACGATCATGCTATTTTTGTTGATTAAATATATTAAGGTGTCAGCGCATTACAGTTAGTTGAGTATATCAATTTGTATATGTACGAAAACAACAACATCCAAATATGTCAACAAATCCAAACTCCTTGAAAATGTACAAGGAAACTTAAATAAGGGGTTCCGGAAGGGTAAGCGTCTTCTGCTTCATCACCCGCCTTGTAACTCTTGTTCCAACCAAGTAAGAAATGCCACGTTCTCAACGACCCTCACAATGGTTTACATTTCCTGTCCTACTTGAATACATAATATCTTTTATCATCACTTTACCTGTTAACCGACATTCACCAATGAGAGCAATGTTCATACAATAATGTTCATAAAATAATGTTCATATGATGAAATAGTCTAAATACGATGAATTCAATATCTGTGTTTCAAGTTTTAAAAAAGCGTATTTTTTTCTTCAGCATGAATATTTACATTAATGAGTTATCATCGCTTTGGAGGACTTACACTTACCATTAATGTTTTACTTTAATTCCATTTTTACAATATGTACATGTATATATACTCATTTTTTCTCGAAACTATTCGAGATATGTATATATATATGAAATCAATGAAATTTTATTGTGCAGATCGATATTGTAGATCTAGAAGGTATCAAATATCATCTTTGCAACAACTAATGATACCTTATATTAATCTTATTTGAAAAACGGCACGGTTTAGAATATACACATGCAATTGACGCTGTTATAGAATTACCAGAGCTATGAATATTACATCATTAAGTGCATTATGGGGATATTACATATCCACATCTAAATATTGGCTTTTCTTTTTATCACTCCTCCTCAGTCGCTTCCCGGGGTTCAAAATTTAATACTTAATATATATATTTCAATATTTAGGTCCACAGCATCACTGGTAAGTCCTAGGACAAAACAGTTATATTTTGCAGTTTTCTTTATTGTTCTCATCTACTGCATCAAACTCTAAATGTATGAAAAGGTGGTACTTATTGCTGTGGCATTTCTACAATATCTTTACCAATGTAACTATTAGTGAACAATACATCTCAGGTAATTTCATATCGCCTTTGTAAATCGAATCTAGAGGTGCAAATTTGAACATACCCACGATAAGTGTATCCTGTCTTTTTAAGTCCGGTCCCATGTATAAATGACGTCACTCTGGTACCACCCTCGTATACCGTTATCTTAGAGCCTCGTAATGGGAAATTGTTTCCATACTCGGTGGGCCAGCCGCCATTCTTTGAATCAAAATAAAAACAAAGGTGATAATAAGACACATTTAAGATTTCAAACATTCGCACAAATGAAGAAGCATGTTCTTTTGCTCAAATACCTCAAACCGATATCGAATCCTTACAAGATTATACTTTCTCAAAAAACAAGTTTACAGATTACTAAAATTTTAATATTTATCGTCACAAATTACAATTGTTATATAACATTTTTCACATTTAAAGAAAACTTCAGCGGGTTTATAAAAAAAAATCCTGCGACGACATAAACACTTAAATATGCTATCCAGACTATTATTAAAGTAACAATAGTTGAACATAGACATTTTCAAGAGAGCACCTGATTTTAAAACTGCTAGTTCCAGACACGGCGTTCACAGATCACACACGGCGGGTATAGTGAGAAGAGACGGAAAGAAGCATATCATAAGAATACGTTGTTGATCAAGCAGATTTTACGACGGTAATTTCAAATTATTAGAATCATGTTCCAATTTATATTCTAAATGTTGAATTTCGATATATTTCCTAAACAGTTGAACTCACATCTGACGAAAAGATAATAAGTGTGTCGTCATACATGTCGTTTGCCTTCAGAGCCTCTGTGACATTACCGATGACGTCATCCATTGCTGTCACCATTCCTAGAGATAAATGATAACCACACATTAATTTCATTGAACGACGATATCCTTAAGTTTGCTTAGGTTGTATATACACAATGATCTGCAGCATCTCACCATGGAAATTATCCCGAAACATTTCTTTCAGGAAAGGGACATAGTCATCATATCACAATCTGATACTGATAATTAACACATCATCTTATAAAGTTCTGTTCTTTACCTATATTCCATCAAGAAAATAAATTGAGTCTCACCAGAAAATTTTCTTCTGCCTTCATTACGTATATGGTTGTACATATTTTCATACTCAATGGGCACCTGAAATACAATTACTCTATTCATCAAACTGTCTTTTTGTGTTTTTGTTTACAAATTGTAATGAATATGGAAAAAAACTGCAATCTATAATATATCTGAAAGATTCCAGAAGATGTCTCACGTAAGGAGAATTTAGAGGTTAGTATCTAATTACACAATACTATTTGGTTTATACATTATATATGCTGTGCCTTCTTTCTGCTCTAATTCTCATTATTCAAGTATTCATATTCGACTTGTTTCTACGTTGGCCACCAGGAGCCTGACAAAATGATATAAATTTTCATATTTTTTATCTATCGTGGTGCACTATGATACACAGTGATTAAACTTTTAATGTCTCGATGTACCATGGTTATATATATTATTAGATATATTTGGCAGGCTGTTGTCGGATATCGTCGATTTCTAAGTTTTCCAATCATTTTTTTTTTAACAGTCGGATGTAACCTATGTAGTTAACAACTATTCGTTATACTATTTCTTCAAATCCAGTCATCACATATTCTGTGCACGCATTTTTTCCTGAAACAGATGACTTTTAAAAATATTATTACATTGTATAAAGATGGAGATTAATGTTATATCCGGTAAATAAGAATTTCGTTCTGTGTAGAACAAATTAGTTGCCAGTTACCTGAATCGGCTCGTGAACAGATTGTAGAGGCATATACACGAAAAATGGTTGACTCTTGTTGTGTTGTGCAATCAAATTCAGCGCTCGGGTAGTATACTGAAACTGAAAAAGAATGTTGGGTTTAGAAACAACATTGATATAAAATATTGGTCTATACAGACAGCAGGAAGGATAACATCATTGGTCAAAGGTGACATTTTTCACTTATAACAATAAAAAATAATTTACTAAAAATACACTGTTTTAAAAACTTAAATAATTTGTATCTAAATGGTCTCCATTTAACTTAATGAAATTAATAGATGGATCTAACGTGAACAGCAGTAGATATGCGGATATGTTCCCCGTAGATAACACCAGTAAAGTGTTACGTACACATCTTAGTGGATTCCTCGGAATTTCAACAATTGAACCAGACAGGTCAGATACAGACACGAGATGAATTCATGATATTTTAATCAACTATGTATGTGAACACAAGACAGATTTATATACATTTTGACATGAGATGCGGTAATTTTAGAGTGGAAACATAAGATTTCCAAATAATTCTTATCCCGTTAAATCCTTGCTGGTGTATGTATTAGTACTACACGCTGATTTATTAGTACTATGAATAATTTGTAGAATTTTGAATAAGAGATAAGTTGACCAACCAAATCCTAGAAGTAATGAAACGGTTAGTTAGGATTGAAATATTGTGTTAATCAAGTCACGTAAGTGTTTTAATATCCATGTTGACTATTCTCTTTACATAGATACTTTAGATAAAACTGCCACATTGTGAAAATGTTTTATCTCACCGTAGAGTACGTGCCAATCGCTTCTTCATCAGTTTCCATGTTCTTCCTGAAGTCAAATCCAAGAAGTTTATCATGACCTACAATTTGAGATGGAATAATAATTGTTTTCAGGAAATGCTACCTATTCTTACTAATAAATGGCGATATTTATTGTCTCGATTAATATGTTAACAATTCTGGAATATAATTTAGTTTTAGTTGTTTGTACGGTAAATACTACATGGAATTCAATGTCGTGCGAAATTTCTCTTACAGTGGCGTAAAAAAATTAATAAAGCACGCTCCTTGATTCTGGTTGATTCTTCGAATAAACGCACGCGATCTGACAAAATTTTTTTTTTTTATGTGAATGGAATTCATGATCTACAACTTTACTACAATGTACCAGTCACGCACACAGCAAACATTACATTCGATAAGTGTTTAAAATAATTTTAAATATCCACACAGTAAGCTAATATTAGCAGTACGCTTTCATTCTCGGCTTGTTTAACACCTAACAATCAATCACAGCTGACCCTCATTCACGCAGTTTGCAATTCGTCTTTTCTTTCATCTCTGCATAAAAATATTGTCATGCTTCCAAAGCTGGAGTATAATAGAAACTGCTACATGAGCTGCCAACATGGAAGCTATGAATTTTTTGTATGATGTAGTACATTTGTTTTTAAAGGTTCTATATATTTGTGTTCCGCTAGTATCATCTTCCTATTCTTTTCAAATGAAATCATTAGGCATTGCAGACAGATTATTATTTGAGGCAATCTAAAAGCATTTACATAACAAAATCTATACACGTAAACAAATGGTTATTACTTTCATACCACAACATTGAAACACTTACTAAAACAATCAAAGTAGACTCAGATATGGCCGGTGAACCATTTCAGATTTATTCTCCACTTTTCCCTTGAAAATTATAAACCATCATACACGTTGATATCTTAACCCGTGTTGATACATACTGTTATTTTTTCTGTAGTAATCCTCTCGCCCCGTGTAATAACCATAGAAAGAATCAAATCCGCGGTAGGTGGGTGTACACTGCCACTTACAGAATCCAAGGTGCCATCTACAATGGTAACATCGTCATGTATATTATATACATGATAAGGTAGCCCATGCATCGGTTAAAAAGACCAGTTATGACTTTGAGTAAGATTTTATATATGCAGTACAAACAGCGACATACTGGTAAACAGTACATGTATGTATATCTGCTATTTTATAATATTGTGGAGCAAAATGGGTTTATCTCTTTAAATGTTTTCAATTTAAAACTCGTTCTCATATCCAATCGATTCAATGCAATCTTTTGAAAAGGAAATTACATCTTTAATTGAAGACCGTCGCGTATTTTTTATGTGGCAGAATTGTTTTCAGTGTCTTCTATTAATTTGTCTTTTAGCTCAAATGTTTTATTAAAATATTTTGTGTGTGTTTGTCTCCAGTGTGTGATTCCTGAGTGTCCCTGAAGTGTATATGTCAACCATCAGACCTTCACGTCCATTTCTATGTTTATCTGACTGTGTCTCTCCTTATCATATTTCATTTCCGTTCTCGCATTGGCGATTTCCGTTTTACTGTCTATCATATGCTTCAGTTTTGTAGTCAAGTTTTCATCTAGTGTGTTAATCCGGTTCTAGATACACAGTATGGTAACGTAATTTACAATTTTTATCATATATTTGAGTAAGAAAATTCTTGTAGATTACATAAAACACAAAGGCGTGACAGTTAATGAAAAGACATCTGTTCACGCATTCAAATTAATGTGGTAATTACTATTTCTCGCCTATGATCAAATAACATGAGTTAAAATACACTGGTTATGTTACTTATTGATACATTAGTAGATTGCCTTTCTTAAATACTTACTTTCCTATCATATGCGTTGCATATCCAAGTTTTTTCAGGTGTTGTGGTAGGAATGTAAGATTAGTTGGCGCGCACACCTTCTGGTCAGGCCAAACCACCAAATGCTGCAAATGTTAAGCAAAACGTAATTAAAACAGAAATAGAATAGATTCAGTGTTATAATCCTTTAGTATCATTCGAAACATTGACTGAAACTTTACTTTGCTATTATTGTTAGAATGTTATAAATATATACTAAATATTTTTAATTTGTCATGTGTTGTTTTACATTGTTTTAAGTCCTACATTCCAAACTAATGCTCATTTGACTAGTCGTCATGAAAGAATTTTTTTGTAGATTTGACTTTAAGATAGTATAAATGCAGCAATGAGAGATTACCTGTAGTCCCGTTTTGAAAGGATACATCCCTGTCATGAAAGCACTCCGGGATCTACGATACAAAAATATTCATATTACTATAAACAAAAAATATCATTTAGATTATCGTCGATACCAGAATGCTTTGCTGTAGTATGCAATGTGTTTGTAGAAAGTTACGTTTCTCTGTTACCTAATTAACCGAAAGCATTGTCTGGCGATCTATCAACTTGTTTTATATAGGTCAGGGGTTCATTGACTCCAGACCAATAGTCAAAAGAACGCCAGAATAGGTTTGAATACCTAATAATGTACCTGTACATATTCAAGAATATCAATATATCTGTTGAATGACCGATATTACATGACAATTAGGTGTTTGTGGTAATATGCACAACATCTCATACAAAAAACACATATTACAAAAACCAGCAAGTATATCAATGTGAATTTCCGCTGGAAGGCAATAGCAAAAATACCAGAGGAATTTGATGTTAATGGCAAAATCCATTTATGGTGATATACTGTAAAAGGATACTATTTAATGAAGACTATAGATGTGTTGTGGAATAGAAACAGATTCGTTTGAGGAATTATGTTTTCATTTCGAATATTGTAACATCTGTATACAAAATGCATTTTTACATTATTACAATAGCTAGCTAGTGAACAAACATATATAACACACGTGTAAAATTACACACGTAGAACAAAGATATATCACACACGTGTAAAATTACACACGGTGAACAAAGATATATCACACACGTGTAAAAATATATACGGTGAACACACATCACACACGTGTAAAAATATATCCGGCGAACAAACACATCAATACACTTGTAAAATAGCGACGGCAAATGTACATCACAGACGTGTAAAATACTTACGGAGAACAAAAATATATCACACACGTGTAAAAATAAATACGATGAACACATATATATGTGTAAAAAAATACATTTTTAACATCTGTAAACGAAATGCATTTGTCCATTATCATAATAGCTAGCTATTTTGCACAGTAAAACAGTTCTCATGATGTTTTGTTCTACAACATCTATTTACAAATGGTTTCTTTATTTTTTTTATTTTTTTTTTTTTACGTCGTGGCGGAGAAATCTTCAACACGAGGGGTGATTTTTGTTTTCTAACCCGAGGCTCTGCCGAGGGTTAGACTACAAAAAAATCACCCCGAAGGCTGGAGATTTCTCTGTCACATCCTCTGAGGGTAGGGGTTGATTATTTTTCTCCCACCCCATTATTTCCGCCATGATGTAAAAAAAAAAAAAAAATCCCACGGTACAAGTGTCTGAATGGCGCATGAATATCACCATTCACGTTTCCAAAATTCTACATTCTTCCGCGAGAGGAAAATGACTACAAACGCAATATGAATAACCATTAGAAATATTTATTTTTTTGGAAATCAAATATTTTAATTAGCTATAGATACATGGAAATACTTGCATTGAACAACATTTAACTCCGTATCATTTATTAAGGTAGGGTAGGCTTGCCGCGATGTCATGGACAAAAATGGTATTTCCCAGTTTATAATGACGTCAATTGTTGATGCGCGCGAAAAATTGCAATGGTGTGAGTGTCACGCGTGTGTTCATTCAGAATCAGAGTCATAGATGATCCTCCGACGTTTATTTGTGTTCACTGGACAAGGATTGTTATAGTTAATGTTAACTGTGATGTTACAGTCGCGCATTACGGAACCTGCAAACAAAGCATCCACTCGTCGGTTTGAGTCCGTTGTGATTGCCGACTGAGGTCACCGAGTGCAGCCAGGTGGGATAGATTTATCCTCCATGGGTGTTCCACATGGGACATGTCTATCCTACATGGGCAGAGGTGGGATAATATGACATCAAATACACGCAGGATGCATACGGTGAAAAAAATTATATTACACACTTGTAAAAATGCTTACAAAGAACACACACACTTACACACACACCCACACACACACACACACACACACATATATATATATATATATATACTGAAAGGATAAAGAAACGCAGGGTAATATTTATTCCGATATTTTGAAAACGCGTTCTCCAAATAAAGTGAAACTTTGTGGATTGAGTAATTAGGTCATATTACACCTTGTCATGTATCGAAAATTTAGTCACGGTAGAGTGCGCAGCTCTGGTAAATGGAGGAAGGAAAAAACAGGAATCTCGTGCACCGTGTTGTTCTGGTCTCATGCAGCGTTGGTCAAGTCACTCTTCGTTAGTCTTTATACAGACCAACTGCTTCCCTAAAATTAATTAAGAATTTGATTCGTTTTAAGAATGGCACGACTCACAGAAGTTCAGAGGGGTCAGGCCATTCAGCGCGTATCGTCACGACGTCAGGATCGCTATATCGTCGTCTCTCATGTGCGTAATCGGCGCCTTACTGCCGTTGAGAGTGCACTTAATGTTCGTGGAAATCATGGGCGTCCTATAAGTTCACAAACTGTAAGAAATCGATTACGAGAAGTTGGTGTAAGAGCACGTCGCCCCAACGTAGGTCTACACCTTGCCCCTGCTCGACGTCAGCGTCGTATGGCCTGGGTCGCTGCACATGCTCCACGACGGTTTCCACTGAGGCAGTGGAGGCAAGTTTTCTTCAAGGACGAGTCTCGATTCTGTCTTTATCGATCTGACGGCCATCAACGTGTCTACCGACGTCGTGGCGAACGTTTAACTTGCGTTGTAGAGGGATAGGTTTAGGGGTGGTTCAGTAATGGTGTGGGGAGGAATCTCACACGGGTTAAAATCACAATTGGTTGTTATTGATGGCAATTTAACAGCAGCAAAGTATAGAGATGAGATCCTCCGACCCCATGTTATCCCTTTCTTACAGCAGCATAATCTAACCCTCCAGCAGGATAATGCCAGGCCCCACGTAGCAAGGATTTGCCAAGTCTTTCTGGCCGACAACAACATTCAACCACTAGATTGGCCGCCATATAGCCCTGATTTGTCCCCGATCGAGCATCTTTGGGACCAGTTGGAAAGACGGGTTCGAAAGCGCCAGCCACCCTGTGCTACTCGAGAGCAGTTGACCAGAGCTCTGATTGAGGAGTGGGACAACATCCCCATAAGACGGATTAATTCTCTCATGAACTCTATGACCAGAAGAATAAGGGCCGTGACCACAGCAAACGGCGGACACACAAGATATTGATGACTCAATTCAATTTCAATTTCAAAATCCTATGGGTCCATTCAATGTAATCGTTAGTACCTCTAAACCAATTGTCAGATGCAAAATACAGGAAATTTTTAAGCTTTAATTTATATGTAAGTCTACACAATTTCGTTTTAAATGAAGCCCGATATCATACTTAATTTCTGGTTTAAAGTTCACCCCGCGTTTCTTTATCCTTTTAGTATATATATAAATATAAAACATTTTAAAAATGCAAACGGCGAACAAATAGATAACACCTATGTATGAAAAATACATATTGCGAACAAACACATTTGACACACTTTTAAAAATACCTACGGCAAACATACATCACACACGTGTGAAACACTTACGGAGAACATACAGGCTGTACATATGCCTGGTCCAGTATGATTCCCTCCTTTGCCAATTTGTCGATGTTTGGGGTGGAGATGTTTGGATTACGGAATCCCACATCATTCCATCCTGAAATACACAACATTAAGTTGATAGAATTGAAAAAATATCATTCTTTTCACCGATATTATTCTTTATGTACATGCATCTGGTTATTGTTTTCGTCTGTTCTGTTTATGATATACATAGCGCCAATAGCTGCGTTTAACAACTATATTACAATACAGGGAAAATTAATTACTATTGTTTTTTGGGTCTGTTTTTTATCTACAATTAAGCAATATACGGAAAAGGATCAATAAATAGATATACGATACTTATTTGAAGTTGAATGATAAATATTGAAAAATGTAAGCATTGTTTATTTTGATTAATATTTTTGTCTTATCATGACAATATTTGTGTACTTCATACGAAATATATACTGGGTACGGCGATGAAGCTACTGATAAATGACTTTTGTTTCACACACAAATTGAACACGACGAACTTCCTATCGTACGAGAAAACAGAGTATTTCCCAGAAATATATCATGACTCCAACTATTAAACATCCCCGTGTTTGTCAATTAAACATATTGAAACCTTAAACACTGTCTGTTGGAAGCTGTGTTGTAACAATGGAAGGTGGGAAGTTATATACAGTAACGCCAGTACAGTACAATAATGCTCGGGTCCTAAAGTTTGAAACCTAAGTGACAACTTGTGATGGTGACGGTAAAACTTTATAGATTTCGTGATTGGCATATATCTAATAATTTCAAAATTATGTTAAATTACGTCCAGGGATTGTGAAAAAATGGGAAAAGCCAACCAGTGTCTAGCACATTAAACCAAAAAAATCGAAAAAGTAACCCAACTTTTGTAGAATTGAACAAGATCTATCCTGCTTTCCATCAGCACCTTATGCAAATTGCAACTAAAACCACAGGTCCTTCTTGTCATTTGAGATAACAAGAAACAGTGTCACAGAATTGATCTTACAAAGAGCATTTTCCCTTTGTTGATGACGAGTGCTTTTTCATTGATTGTGTGTGGGATAAGACAGAATTATGATGCGTCAGTTGATATTGGATCCTTATAGTCAGCGATATATAAACGCGACATTAAATAATGATGTATTCTGTAGTAAGTTTATATCTACATTCTAGTTTATTAATTTGTGTAGCAGACCCAACTCATCTAGCTGTACAGTGTAAATACTAAATTGATTGGATCTCATTCATATTTTACTGTTCTATATTTAGACTGATGTTGTGGTTTGTGAAGATATTATGCATATCCTGTACGAGGGTTAACACCCGTGAGTTTACTTACCAAAGTCGTCTGCTACTATGAAAAGTATGTGTGGTGATTTGGCTTGCCCATGTGCCGTCGTTAACATAATACAGATGAAGAACAGTAAGTTTTGTAAACAATTACACATGTTTCATGCCTCTTACGCGTGATCACAGTAGTTGAGCAGCTGGTATTCTCGTCCCTAACAGGTCATCATGTGACTGCAGCCGAGCTTGTTAATTCAGGTATATCGCTTTGCTCTATTCAAAACTTGTGTTATTTATACACAACCGTGTTTAATGTAGTTACTATTCAAGTAAAATGTCGCAGTAGCAAATTGTTTTGAAGTTGATGGAATGTAAATGCAAACCGTATTTCTTTTGGCCTTTTCTTGACGATTTTAAATAAACTCATGCGAAAAAACGTATAATGCATTAATTTACCCACAGTACGATATAAGCGGAAATATTTCTTGTGAAGTGTTCTGTTATGAGAAAGACAATAAAGAGATCATTGCCAACAAGCTATTCCTGTGAGTGAATAATGAAAAAACCATCTAACCAAGAATTTAAAACATTGAAGTAACCGTAATAGACAGTTGGATAAAAGCATGATGGACAACCGCGTTCAGGTACAAAATCATTATAACTATAGTATTCAGTATGCCAGATGACAGAATCCTCCAAATCGAAAGTACCAAAACGAAAACAGCTGATCATTTTGTATGGGCTATATGATAAATAGCATATATGCATATATATCATTTACATTTGCGATTAAGTTAAGAATGGACTTTGCGAGAAGTAGAACAAAAACCGAACAAATCATGGTTAACTTAATTTAAGGAACATCATTCTCAAACGTCACGATATGCATGTTCTCATGAATATGGGAAATAAAGATAACACAAAAATACAATATTCAATCTTTTTTACCTTACACTTACAAATAGAAGATAACAGTAAAAAACCAATAAAAACATGGTCAACATGTGCTGCTGACTGAAGGCTAGACTTATAATTTCTTTGCCAAAAAAATAATACTAAATTTCTTTGTGCGAAACAAGTTTGGTTTAAACGAACTCGTTAGTTTGCCTGGCTGTTTCAATGACGTATACCTGAAATTTTTCATCAGAACGTTTCACTACATGGATTGAAGCTAGATTTTCATAACATGTCGGTAATGGACGATAGGAGCAACCTGTCTTGAATTCTTAGACTTTCTATTCTTTTTAAAGGATTCCATATACTGTAAAAGTTGCTAATTCATCAAAGCTTGGCACAAAAGGGATTGTTTCCAGCAGCTATGAAACAGATTCTGGTCTGTTTTTTTCTGCAATCTTTTTTTCGAGATTCCAATCCATCCTCGAAAATATCATTATCTGCCCAAGATAAAAATACCATTCTTGGTCTTAGATGGAAATCACATTATTATTTGAGGGTAAATAAAGTGATCGTGAGATTTTCACATGTAGCTGAGGATGCGAAAATTACGACAAAAAGATTCCCTCATCAAAGAATAACAAACATAATAGTTTATATCTGTTTATATTCTCGTTAGTTTAACTTTGTTGATCGAAATAAGCCAGATGTACGGTAACATATCTATGACGTCATTCCCTTGTATGTTTCTAGTGTTTACTCTTGCTCAATGTTTACTTTACACAAACACAAACCACAGCAATACATGAATATCAATCTAATGTTTTGGCTCTGTAAACCATGTTATGGTCTTTCATTTTGATAACACAATAAAAACTCAACAAATAGATCAATATAGCACAATGGTCACAAGTAAAGATAACTTCCTGCACAGGTTCTGAATAATTTAGAAAACAAGCCCCCAATCACATTGAATGTAATCAGATTGTCTATCAATGAGATAATATAAATTTAACATGCCTACAGCAACCATCACCGAGATCCTTATTCCCTGTATAGATAATAAAAATAGCCTCCTACAAAGTTATATTAGTGTGTATGGAATAGTTTTTTTCTGATCCTGACAGGAGTAGGAAAAACACACATCTAATCTGCAATAATTTATTCGCACACATATTTCTAGTATCTGCTAGTGTCCCTTAATTAATTTATTTGTTGTGGAAAGAAAGTAAATAAGTTGTAATAACTGTTGTCATTGGTTTGCAATAAAATTGGTTTAAATTAAAAATTATGACGTAACACATTCTGCCAAGTCTATCACATGTTTAAATTAAGTATTGCTGAATCAGCAATTAAAATAACCATGTTTTCTCGATCAAGGTAACAGCTCAATGGCTGTAATCACCTCCTCCAACGGCTAAACCCATTAAAACATACATTTGCTGTGGATATTTACAATAAACATACATTAAAATGAATTAATTAATACAAGAAAAATCAACATATTAACTATCTTAATTAGTGGATGTTATTTCTTCGAGTCAATAAACTGAAGTACATATGTCTACTATAAATGCTGTTTAACCTGAAAAGTAATAATTATACACCTGAAAAAACAAGAGAGTTTTGTATCTTTGTACATTACATTACATTTTGCTATATGTTAAAGTAGTTAAAATTGTAGATAGTATTACCAGCTAGCCGATACATAATCTGTTATGATGAATATAGGGAAAAAAATGTCAGGGTTTGGGCAATGTTACATAGATACACCAGATAGATAACTCCTAAGAAATAATACAGGTGTCACCCTCGCAAACATTTAATTACAAGGTATCGTAGTTTAATGCTACAAATGAAGCGCCGCAAGAAAACTGGTAGGTAAATTCCCTAACCTACATTGTATGATATGTGTTTATTCTTAGAATCATCAACACATTACTATGAATGTTGCTTTTCAGTATTTTATTCATACCATGCCTTAGTGTCATTGTTTTCCTATCAGGTACAGGTAGATACACAGTCCTATGGTTTATAGTATCGTCCATGATGCCATGGTAACGCTTCGGGTTTACTTGCACTTTGAATTAGGTCATGTGATAGTGATATTCAGCAAAAATCAACATTGACCTCGGGTTGCGCAAAGTGCAACATTCTAAATGACATAGAATGATACCAAATTTATATTACCAAAAACAATGTTGTCAAAAACATTCAAAACCTACTACCCATGTAAATAGTTTTGATGATTTGTTTTTTTAAGAGGATAGTAGAAACAAAAGATGAGGTCAGGGCCCGTATTCATGAAACCGTTCTCATTTTTTTACCCACATTTCTTTCTTCTCGTTGTTTACTTTAATATACAGAAAAACGATATATGATACTTAATGCAGACTAGATATCTTAGCTTTTTGAATGTTATTTCCTGATATATAATCTATACCAACCATGAACTAAAGCTTTGCATTTTTTATAAATAACCTCAGACGAATTTAGTAAATGTTACGTACTCAAAACTTGTATCAGATATTATCAATCATATCATTATTGATCAACAATTAAAGTTAAGTAAAGAAATGTCTCATGACTATAAATTTTTTCTCGTAAAAAAAGGATAGAAATCAATATCACAATACAATAATATCTGTCGACCGTAAATAATATCTGATTATTTACAAATGGAACTGTCACAATTTCTGTCTTTTTACCAGTTATACGTCAGCACATGAGATATTTACTGATGTCCATTCAAGTTTTGTCATAGAACTGTTAGTGGTAATATGTCTTAATCAAATACATTGTCAAGCGTACATTACCATATTATCACAACGATTATGTTATTCCATGTCAACGCGCCAAATGTCATCGGCGTATGTCGGTATTGATGTGCAGCAATTTCAAACTCTATCTGGATGTTCTCAGTAGTAGCCTTGTACTACGGCACTTCTTCTTCTTAACACAAAAAAAATCGTTCATGCATATCTGCTATTGACCTCCTCCGTAACATGGGAATTATATGAAGAAAATGCTGAAAGGTGTCCAAAACTGCAGAACTACTTTAGATCATTATCGATAATCTACCACCAAGGTAGACTTGTGTAGATGTTTCTCTTATTGTTTTTCCTTTGTCCTGGACAGTTTACATTAAATCAGAACAATTCTGTCTACTATTTTGCAGACCAGACAGATGGCATAACCTTTTAACAAACTAACTCAAATTCCCAATTTTAGCCTCGCAATCCCAAACAAAGCAAACATAAAATATAGTCTAGTTTTAGGGATGATACATTATTTTGAAACAGGTAAACACACCACTGACCCCTTATTTAAGTTTGCTGATGGAACCTCAGTTACTTACTACTCTTTCGTTTACAAATCTATTCAATTAGTCTTGAAATTCTTATAGCTGGACACCAAACTCTGTAAAGGTCATTTTTTTCTCTGTAAAGGTCATTTTTTTCTAATTGGAGCTGTCACTTTAGCTAATCAACTTGGGATTGCACAGTTAATTAATATTGCAAAAGCATGTCGATGAAAATTTGATAGCGTCCAATCATACATTCGTATAGAAATATTTAAATAGAATTTTTGGATGCCAAAGATACCACTTAAAAGTTTGTTTGACACAAATGTATTGGTCCGTTGTACTTTCTGATTCTATTTTAAAATCATCAATTGCTGAAACATCATGATGAAAATCAGTACTGCCTGCTTCCTCCTGTTCTAAATATGTTGATCCTTATTTTATTGTATTTAGTGTACTGTAAAGATAGTTTGTGTAATGTTAAGAATATACATTTGTACTGTTTTAAAATTATCTAACATATCAAAACTAAGAAACTTAAAGCATTAAAAGTGCGGTTCATTTGTGTGTCTTTGTACATCTCTCAACGAAATGTGAAACCTATACTGATTTGTAACAAGGGAGGTCAATACTATATACACTTCCTCGCTCCTGTTTTGAATATTTTTGTTCTCAATTTCGTTGTATTGTAGACATTTTTCTAATATATCTTGTTTTTTTTTTTTTTTTTTTTTAAAAATTTTTTCATTTTTGAAGAATTATACATGTAAAACAAAAAAAATTACAATACATGTACATGAAAAACCCATAAACTCTGATTCGTTAATCGATAATTATATACTGGATCATTCTCACTTGCACTCACACAAATAAAAGATGAAGAGAGGATAGAAAAAAGGGTGATGGAGGGCGTGGAGGGGAGGGGGTCAGAAAGAAAGGATTGATGGGATCATTGGAATGTGA